TAACTTAAACAAAAAACATCTGAACACAAATACTCTGTGGTCACTCGACGAAACTCCAGCAAGTTGGAGGCAAATACATCCAATTGCGGATACTGGCTCAATATCATTGAGTAGTTTCAATGCAAGAGATAGGGGAGCTTGCTTAGCCGACTCTGTTCTTCGTAATGGAACATCGAATAAGTGTCTACATATTACCTACATACCTGCTTCTTTTTAATTATTAACGGCTGAAATAATAATAATAATAAAAGTAATAAAGAGAAAATATCTCGACTTGGCTCACGAGGTGACCGAAATGTAGGGGGTGACGTCCACCGAAATCATTCAAATCGTTCTATCGATGAACGGTCTTATCCCAACTAGTCTGGAACATCTAAGACAATTGAGATTTCGACGCGGCTCACTCCCGGGAAAGACGCAGAAAGTGGTGCTCTTAGATTCTGCTTGCATTGTACGCCGGTTTATCTCCCTGGAACCCTGAACCCCGGCTGACTGTGCTTCTGCCGGGATTTAGTTTGCCATCTCCTCTCCTTAAAAGCGGAGATGTAAATTTTCTAAAAAATTAAAAAATAGTACTAGTCTGGAACAACATCTCAGACGGTTGTGATTCCGAGGCGGCTCACTCCCGGGAAAGATGCAGAAAGCGATGCTCTTAGATACTGCCCGCATTGTACCCCGGTTTCTCTCCCTGGGGCGTTGAACCTCAGACGACTGTGCTTCTACCGGAGGTTAGTTCGCCATCTCCTCTCCTTAAGAGGAGAGATGTGATTTTTTTAAAAAAATAGAAAATGATAATACCTGCTCTTTTATTGCGTTAAAGTCCGATTGTGTATTTAAAACTTAATGTTGTTTAATTGTGTTATCCATCACCGGAGTGCTAGTCAAAAGTTTTGATTAAATTGAATTTTATTTTATTTCAGCCCTTAACTGTCCACTGTTGAACTTAAGCCTTCCCCATAAGAGGAGTTTTGCCTGTAGTTACCACGCTTGGCAGGCGGATTGGCAACCGCAGTTAGGCTTTTACAGATGTTTTAAGAAGGACAATGCTGCCCATCCCTCTAACCAAAATTTATTTAACATATTTAAATTCTAAATATAAAAACTCAACATAGTATCTCATTTACTTGTTGTAAAAATGTTAGTAACTATACAAAAATCGCCATAAACACCTGTAATATAAGAACTATTATTAAATCTACTTTAGCATGTTTTTTTTTCTGGAAGTTCGCTAATTGACTCGGGAATAAATTTCAAGCGACGATCAAGTTGGGACCGCAAGGCGAAAAGCTGCTTTGCGCCTGCACAAACGTCTACTTAAAATTCCGAAACGATATCGTGGGGTCCAAGTCACAAGGCGTAAGCGAGTATAAAAGTCTCATATTGCATTGGTTATTTTAAACAGCTATTGAAAGTAGGCGGTTTTTAACCGACTTCAAAAAGGAGGTTCTCAATTTTGTTGTATTTTTTATGTTTACCTCAGAATTTGTCATTTATAAACTGATTTGGAGTTTTTTTTTTTATTTGAAAAGATATACTTTCAGATTAGTTTCATAGAAATTTCATCAAAATCGATCAAATAGTTTACTTTTTAAAAGAAAATAACTGATTGTGGTGGCTTTTTTTATACAAAATTTACTTGTTGATTTGTGTACATTTTTTGTGTCTATGTTATATGTTTAGATACAAATACTTAACATCGGTTTCAATAGATACTTCGTCTCCATAGAAATATTTCACCAAGTTCAATTGTTTTACAAAAACAAAAACGACTTCAATTCATTCACTAAATTGATTTTTATTTAAATTTAAATATATATACTAAACTACAACTGATTATGATAAACTCTCTATGAAACCAATCTGTGAGTATCCTAAAAAATACAACTGAATTCAGAACCTCCTTCATTTTGAAGTCGGTTGAAGAAAGTACTGCGTTTTATTAATCCGTTCTTCGAATACTTACAAATATATCGCCATTTCCTGTAAATTACACCCATAACTTTAAAATAACTCAAGTTTTGCCAAGGAAAACTTAAGCAAACGAGCCAAGGTATGGTGTAGAGTTAAGAGTGGGAACTGGAATATATTAGTTTATAGTTTCGGAAAAATCTAATTTAAATAAAAATATAGGTACGCTTGAAACATACAAATCTCAAATAATGTATTTATTATTGATATGTTTATAATAGAATTATAAACTATAAAGGTCTGAGATAGTAAACATAAAAAAAGCGGCCTTTTTTGAAGTCGGTTGACAATGTACAATAGGTAGATAGATGAAGGTAATGAATTCTTATTAATATTAAAAAAAGTGCGAGTTGATGTGGATATATATATATATATATATATATATATATATATATATATATATATATATATATATATATATATATATATATATATATATATATATATATAAATATATATAAATAAAAAAGTAATCTATTTCATGAGGTTTTCTATTTCTGAAATCCATGTGTATCAACTTGTGGGCAAAGGAAATAATATAAAAAAGTAAATTTTGTATTAACATACTACAGTATGGTATTATACAGTATACTATGTTCAGCAGTGGACAGATAGCGATAAATCATATATATATATATATATATATATATATATATATATATATATATATATATATATATATATATATATATAGTATTTTATAGACATAGTTTTTAACTATATATATTCTATCGCATTCTTCATACGAAGTAGATACCTAACAGTTATTATTATTGATACTTACGATTAGCAATTTCATATATTGGGTCATAATTGTGGTTAAAAACTATATCGCATGGCTGTTTGCATAATTGCTTTTTGAAGTATTTTGATAAGTTCTCAAAAGCAGTTCTAGTTAATAACACGATTTCATTTCGCCTGTAATATTCACATGCCCCTCTATACTATATACTGTAATTATTTTATATTTTTCACTCCAGAAATTTCGGGTTTTTATTCTCACATTTTTGACCATAAATTAAAATAAAACTACGCAGTATAAAAATTAATAAAAATCAATTTTAACATGTAAATACTTCCATATTGGAGGGAAAGAGATTGTTTGTAATGGAGACTAAGAATCCCATTGCTAGCAATATACCCAACTAGGTCGACCTCCTCGCGGTTCCCCCTAGAAACTATCATGGTTAATTCCTGACGAATTCATCATGATGGGCTAACTGGCCTGTTTTCATTCTCATCTATCACCCTTCACTGGTGCTCCGCCAGCGTATCCTGTTAGCGCGGGCGGGGTTACCATACCATTTTCATCCATTAAAAAAAAACACAACTGCTTCACGGTTGAAACACGAATGGGACACTTAGGTACTTTAGCAAACGACTTTTATACAAAGTCTCCCTCTGGTGAAACTTTGTAGTACAGACCCCTAAAAACAATATTTTTCTCAATTGCAGTAATATTAACACTGATTATTCATCAAATACATATCTACGTACTATCAGTACAATGCGAAGGTCTAAGGCTGAGGTAGATAATATTATATCTGCCAATTTATCAACTTATTAAATCAATTGACAATCACGTTCGTACCTAACTTACATTTGCTTTTGTACAATTTTTGGCATAATCGTACTACATTTTATATTTATTTATTCATTAGTACAAATATGTGTACATGGCAGAGCTAATGCTAAAAGCATTCTCTCCCAGTCAATCTTTGAAATACATTGTGATTGAAGAATCCTGGTGCCTGAGCTAGGTAGCAATGAAGCGACCTGTGTCAGTGTACAAGTCACCAAGTTCCCACCACAACTTTTGAGCTAAAGAAAACCTAATATAAATAAATCATCAACATTATCATATCAGCCTTTAACTGTCCACTGCTGAACATAAGCCTCCCCTTTGGAAGGTTTTGCCAGTAGTTTCCATGCTTGGCAGGCGGATAGGCAACCGCAGTTAAGCTTTGGAGATGTTTTAAGAGGGACGCTGCTGCCCATCCCTCGCCCTCTCTTAGTCGGCTCTTACAACACCCGCGGGTTAGGAAGGAGTCGTCTATTCCATGATGATAGAAATTGGTGGCCTGTTCTATGCCGGATTATATGGCAAACAGCTGAGTACAAAGTAAAGAAAAAAAAATGGCACAATTTTTTCACACATCTTTATTAATATTACAAAGAGGAAACATTTGTTTGTATGTTTGTAATGGATAAATTCAAAAGTAGGCAACTGTTTTTAAAAAAAATTTCAACCGTTCGGAGCCGAGCCGGTTTGCTAATTAAATGTACTTTTTTAATTTATTACTGGCAATACAGCTTCGCACGGGTAGATAAAATTTTCTAAAATAATATTATATATAACCTATGTTAATAAAAAGATAAAATAAAAAAGCCCTTTATTTCCTTATCCTTAAAATTACTATTTCAAAATATAGATATTTGTTTGTTTATATTTAATTAGTTATTAATTAATGTTTTGCTTATTGTCTAAATGTTAGTAAGAGTTAGTTTTATTAATGGATATGGAACCCTTCTCGGGTGAAGGCCTCTTCCAGTTCTTTTCACTTATAATTTGCCAATAATTACCTATGTTATTCACTCATAATGTAGCTTTCAAACTGTCAAACTGTTTATAATTATTCTTCTCCATCCAAATGTTGCCTGACTGGTTGATAATTTGCATTGACTTTTTAGTGTAATATTTTCTTGCAATTGTTTGTATTTATAATAAATTTACTATTGTAATGTTATAGAGAAAATAATAAAGAGTATCAGTAGTTTTTGAGATCATCCATTACAAACAAACGACTAAATCTTTCTCCCCTTTATAATATTAATACAAATTAAGGAAGCAAAGATACTGACTTCAATCCACCTATTGAGAAGTAGCTGTTATTCCCCACAAATGTGTACTTAAGACATGAAATATGTTGCTTCTTTTTGTATTTAAACATCAAAAGTTTTATAAGGACTTAAACAATGGCATTTTTTATGGTCATTATCATAAAAAAAATATTCATTAATTGTACGCAATATTTATATAAAAATAATTTATTTCTTAAACATTAAAGGAGGTGGTTCTTCTAATTATTACTTAATTTATTTACAATTATTTACTAACTTAATTATTATATTTACACAAATTAATCCATTTCTATAACATCATTTGTTAGATGTTGAACACTAGGCATAATACGGTCGTTGTTTAAACGATTACGCCATTTATAATAACTATAAATAAAGAACCCACACAGTCCTAACAGTACAACAAGACACGCCAGAGTAACATATATGGGGATATTAGAATTTCTAACTTCTTTTTTATCACTTTTCACATGTTCTCGAACAATGATTTGAGCATTGTCTTTTTCTAATAATTGTTTTAAGTAATTATTGGTTGTTGTTTGAGATTCATTGTATACCTTAATAAGTTTATTTATAGAGTTAAGAACTTCTTTCATATTTTTCTGTATTTCATCGGTGTCTACAATATTTCTGTTAGCAAAATTTTGGATTGTATTACGGAATATTTCCATAGCATTAGACAAAGTATCGAATGCTGTAGTAATATTACTTAGTATATTATTATTAGGTGTTTGATAATTTGTTTTAACCAGATCAGTTCTGCATGTAACTCCATCAACATTTTCAGAATGATAATCCAAAATTTCTGCTGTTATTTCTAATTCACCCAAGTCCTGCGCCTTCAATTTAATTAAATCATTACAAGGAATTATGTTTCCCCCTATAAATAACTTTTTCACATGTGTATCCATAAACTTATCGAAATTTATTTTTTCAATAAGATTGTCATTTAGGGATATAATTGCAACTGCAGGACTTTTATGCAACAGATTGACTTCAAACGAATGTAAAGAATTACTAGACAAATTCAGTTCATGCATATTCTCAAGTCCATCGAAGACTCCATATTGCAATGATGGGATATCATTTCCATAGAGATTTAATGAGCGTATCTCTTTAGTATGAAGAAACGATCCAGGTTGAATACTAGTGATCAAATTAGAACTCATATCAAGGACCGTCAGGTAAGGCATGCTTTGAAAAGAATGCTTGTCTATAAATTTTATTTTATTTGAACTTAAATTTAAATACGACATTCTTTTTATTTTATAAATAAATAGTGGATAAATTTCAGTAATACCACAATATGATAAATCCAACTTATTTATAGTAGTATTCTTAGAAGATTGAAAGTTGAAGTGTTTCTTTACACTTTTAAATGAAACATGAACTAGAGATGATAGATTATCAAATTCTGTTCCATTTAATACTAATTCCTCATTATGATCCAAATATACATGTGATAACTTAGTCAAAGATGTAAATGAATCTGCGTCTAAACTTACAATATTGTTATTTTCTAAGAATACTGTATCAATATTAGTTAAACCATAAAAAGTCTCCTTCGATATGGTTCTGATTTTATTATTATTTAAATACAATTTATTAACACTGGCAATACTAGCAGTGTCAATAAAAAACTTCTCCAAAATATTATGAGACAAATCTAAAATTTCTAATGATCCAGTATTTTTAAAAGCTGCATAATCCAAGGTTGACAATTCACCATAAGACGAATTCAGTACTTTAAGGCTAGTCATGCCCGAAAAGGTCTCATTTTCATATGTAAATGTTCTAGTATTCATAATATTAAGATCCTTTAACGCTACTAATTTCTGAAAAATGTGTGATTTCAATGAATTTGTAAATAAATTGTCATTTAGATATAAAGTCTCCAACGATAACAGATCATCAAATGAATTATTTTCAATTTCAATAATTGCATTTTGAGATAAATCTAATATTTTTAGGGAAGTCAGATTTTTTAAGACAAGCTTTGTTATCTTTTTTATTTGATTATGGCTTACATAAATATTCTAATTTGTTCAAGTAACTAATATTGAAATCAATGTAGTTTAAATTGTTGTAGGATAAATCTAAATCTACCAATGATTCTAAAGTTTTAAATGCCTCCTGAGAAATATTATGTATAATATTTTTACTGAAATTCAATGACTCTATTGGATATATGCAATTTTTATAAATTACCGACTTGATGGCCAATATTTTATTGTTACTTAAATCTAGATTTGGTTCACAAATGCCGTTAAACATGGTACTATCTATAACACCTGTTATATTATTGTTAAACATATGAAATTGCTCAATAGCTTTTCCACTAAAAATTTCAGAAGGTATAGTCGTAAAAGCATTATAAGAAATATAAACTGTTTTCAATTTATTGTTGTTCTTAAAGAAAATATTTGATAGAAAAGTAATTTTATTATTGCTTAAATCTAAAACTTGTAAATCACTGAGATTCTGAAATGCAGTTTCTTCTATATCTTGTATCACATTAGAGCTTAGATTTAATTTTTCTAATTTAGACATTACTTTGAAATTAGGTTCAATTATAACCGTGATTTCATTATTATCCAATGTCAAATCCAACAAATCGGAGAATCTCATTAATGTGTGACCAATATCTTTAAGTTTATTATTAGATAAATATAGTGTCTGAAGTTTCGACAATCCTTCAAAAGTTAGTATTTCAAAACTGTTTATATTATTGTGAGAAAGATTTAAATGAAGTAAATTATCGAAATTTTTAAAATGATTATTTGGAATCTCTGATATTAAATTATGGCTTAAATCTATTAAACTTATTATATTACCATTTCTGACTAAGTCAATTGTAGACATATGACTATCGTCTAACTCCGTAATGACGTTATTCGAAGCATTAATTTTCAGTAGATTATAATTTTTTGCAAAATTTAACAAATTTATTGTGGTAAGGTCATTATGACTTACTTGAATCTGGGTAATTTTCGGTAAATTATAAACTTCATCGGGTAACGAAACCATTTCACAATTAGTTACTTCCAGACTTTTTATATTACTTTTAGGTATCTGTGTGGGTAAGATCGACGAATCCTTATTCAATGGTATTCCATCCGATGATTTTGATTTTAGATTATATATCTTTAGATATATTTGATAGTAATCACTATCGAGTCGCGAATTTTGCGAATCGTAAGAGTTATAGTATCTACCTCTATTATAATAATGATTGTTTAAACAACTCCAAGATCGTATCGAATCATATGCATATCTATAAATTCTATTTCCATCACACACTACATTTCCGATGCATGGACTTGTATCAAATTCAGTGAAAATACAAAATCCCTCGTGGTCGCTCTTTGTGCCATTTATAATTGAAATTAAGAACAAAAATAAAGCGAGATTCTTGAAATCTGGAACAAGAAAAATGTTTTGTTCTTAGATTAATAATTTACAACACGTAATCCTTACTAATATATTAAATGTAAAAGTAAGTTTGTTACTTTTAGACACTTTCACGGCTCGACCAAAGGATATGAATTACTGTTTGTAATGGTAAAAAGAGTATAAGGACAAATAGTAGCATTTATAATAACAGACGCAGTTGCAGGTAAAAACTGATATCACGGAATGTACTCGCCAATCACCACAACCTCCATACATTATCATTCCCAGTATCAGTCAGGATTCGCAGACACGGTGGGGAGGAGGCCTGAACTTGTGGGAGGAGGGGGAGGGGCACTAGTTCTCCCAACTTCATAAACATTCTATGGCAATCCAAATTAAAAACACAATAAATATAGTACTTAAATACTACAAAAAAAAAATAGCACTTAATAGAATAATATTTATATGTATATAATATATCTCACCAGAGGAAGACTATGTACAAAAGTCGTTTGCTTGGGTACCTTTGTCCCTTTCAAGTTTTTACCGTGAAGCAGTTGTGTTTGCATGGCTGTGTTTTGGTTTGAAGGGTGGGATATAGCGTGAATTTACTGGATACAAAGGAAGAACACCTGAGTGCTCAGGAATGGCAACGCATGGGAGGGGGGTATCATAGGCGAAACAGTACACTCTGTTATGTCCATGGTACTGCTCATGTCTATAGGCGACGGTTACCACTTTTCATTAGATGAGCCGTCAGCTTGTTTGCCATTCTGTTGTATAAAAAAAATGTCTATAAAAAATATTACAATTAGATATAAGAACTATAATTGCATTAATTATATTATGTCGCGTAAACAATTGTTGTAACCGGAATGGATCTGTACGTAATTATTAGTTCCTTATATAAGTTTCCACGCCATTCTAAAAATGCTGGGCAGGTTTTGATGAAATTTGCTGATCGTGAAACCTTCACAGCACCACTAACATTATAATATATGTGAAAGTGACTTTGTTTCTTGATTTTATAGTGCTACTTTTGATTCCGGTCAATATAATTCAGTCACGTGTACAAAAATGTAGATAAAATAAATGGAGAGATTGTTATGAGCTTTTTTTTTTCTTTCTTCTTTCTCTCTTTCGTTATTCTCTATTTGTTAAAATTATCCTACTTCTATGCCTAGATTTTGTCCATCGATCACAATTTATTGAAATACATTCAATCTTTTTAAACTGATATAGGATTAATTAATCCGAAGTATGATCTGTCTATTATATAAAAATTAATTAAAATTTATCTAGCCGTTTAAGCGTTTAACTTACAAACGTGCATACGTAATAACAAACTTTTATATTCATTAGTAGAAAGCTTATATAAAAACTATCTCTTTATATAAAAATTATTATATAAATCGCAAAATTGTAATATAACCTAACAAAAAGTATAAAAAGAAATAACGAAAATTTATAACACATACCCATTTTTATTATTTTTTATTTCATATTTTCTTAATACACTTTTTTAATATAATCTTCCTTTATTTACTCTATGAATATTCTTTATAACACTTTATAGCCATGCAGCGCACTAGAATACTAGCTTCTTTATGAGAACAATATTATTATGGCATGTACCTACAATCGGTGACTAATTTATTATCAGTGGCTTAATATAAGCGAACAGTCTCTACAGTCAATGTTATCTCTGTATATCCATATTTTTAAACATATATATAATAAATTGACCATACATATTTTTTTTTATGGACGATAATGGAATGGTAACCCCACCCGCGCTATCGGTATACACCGGCGGGACACCAGTGAAGGATGATAGGTGAGTATGAAGCAGGTCAGTTAGCCTGTTGTTACACAAATTCAACAAGAATTGTTCACGATGGTTTCCAGGGGGAACCACGTGGAGGTCGACCTAATAAGGCATATTGCTAGCAATGGCGCTGTCAAACTCCATTGCTAACAATCCCTTCCCCCCCCCCCCTAACAAACCAGACATATTATCCTGTCTATGCTCGTATTTCTATTTGGTTTATGATCACAATGTAAGGCTTATATGGACACGTTAATATTCAACATTCTTGTCTCAGTAAAATTATCATATTTGGACAAGAGTACCTGAGCAGAAACAATGAAATGCTCCAATTCAAACATACATCCTTCGCTGTCTCCACATTCCCCAATACATTTTTTCATCAATCATCAGATAATGAGTATTTTTAACGTGACCCATTACTGTACGATTATTCTTATTTTTTATACAATTTAGAATGGCAAACAAGCTGACGGTCCACCTGATGGAACGTGGTAACCGTCGCCTATAGACATGAGCAGTACCATGGACGTAACAGAGTATACTGTTTCGCCCATGATACCCCCCATGCGTTGCCATTCTTAAGGACTCAGGTGTTATTCCTCTGTACCCAGTAATTTCACGCCACATCCCACTCTTCAAACCGAAACACAGCTATGCAAACACAACTGCTTCACGGTTGAAACACGAATGGGACAGAGGTACTCAAGCAATCGACTTTCGTACAAAGTCTCCCTCTGGTTGATATTCATTGATAACGTTTTACATTATAAAATAAATTCATTATAATGTTCCAACCCTTATAACAATTATTATTTGGGTCGACGTAATATGTTTTTCCCTTCCATTCTTCTCTATTCGCAGTCATTTCCGCATTCATTCTCATTCTGGTCATATAATCTTTCATACTGTCCATCTATGCCTTTTTAAGTCTCTGCCCTTATAGCCTTATATCTATATTCATACTTAATAACTTTCTTAACTATTTAAAAAGAAGTTAACATTCGAAATGTAATTATTTATGAACCGATATGTATTTTTTTTAATTAAATATAGATACACTGAAGACTAGATATTACAGCTAAATAGTAGTGTGTCTAAGAACAAGAAATTACATAGAAAGAATGATAAAATAAAAACTGTAAATCACATGGTTGCCTCCTTTCCTCTTATGCAAATATAATTAATAAAAAAAAAAACGAAAGATACACCGTCAGCTGCTTTTTTCTCAATGTATAACAGGCTATAAAATATAAATAAAAAAAAACGAGTCAGCAATTTTTTACACCTTGACTTATTTTACTAAAGTTTTAGTAAGGATCCCTAATATTTTCTAGCAATATATATAGTCTATGTTACTCAGGATGAATGTAGCTTTCTAATGGTGGAAGAATTTTTGAAATCGGCAAAGTAGTTTTTGAGTTTATTCATTACAAATATACACACAAAAATACAAATATTTCCACTTTATAATATTAGTGTAGACAACAACTTAGCCAATATTAAGCATGCAAATTATAACTTAATTTTTTTTTTCAATACGACACCAGTAATTAAGTTACACTTGATAGTATAGTACAGTACATAGGATGTTATATTAATATTTATACATATTAAAATTAAAAATAAAAAATTGTTGCAATTTAGTTTATTACAATTAGTTTATATAAATTACTTGTAACACTAAATTACTTGTAGGGGAATTACCAACTTATTTATTATAATATGACTCTGCCTGATATTATGCAGACGCGTTCATTTTATTCTTGTGTGTGCTTTATCAGCAGAGCCATATTTTAGCATATTGCGCAGTAATACAGTACATAGCTGCTACTATAGATAAAGAAATATTTTTAAAATAACTGTATCCCGCAGGTTCGCCCGCGTAAATCGATTTTTTTTTATGGGTGAAAATGACATGGTAACCCCTGGTTCGCCCTGGAAACTATCGTAACCAATTTATCATTGAATTCGTCACAATGGACTAACTGACCTGCCTTTTCATCCTCACCTATCACCGCTTACTGGTGCTCCGCCAGCGTATCCCGTTAGCGCAGACGGGGTTACCATACCATTTTCATCCATAAAAAAAAACTGATTACTATGAACTTACTATATGGGATGATGAAGGATAAAGTCTACAATTGAACCAAATATATTCCAGTCATCCGGACAAAGTAGTCGGTAAAAGCTAGTATTTATAATATTCATACCTTTTTTGTTTGTATTGTACACAACTTCCAATAAAAGTTGATTCTCAATTCGGTTGTATGTTGTTTTTTTTTGTTTGTTACGTCATAACTTTTTTTGTTTGTTACGTCATAAGGATAAGAAAGGAGATTGTTAGTTTATATATTTTTGTTTTTGTATTTTTTTATTTGTGCTTTTTTATTTTTATTCTTTTGTCTCTTTTGCTGTGTATTATGTGTATGTTTTTTTATTATAATTTGTGTGCTGTAAGTAATGTAAATAAATTATCTATCTATCTATCTAACTCCGTCAATTGTGAACCGATGTAGAAAATTCCTAATTTTTTCATCTCACAGATTAGTTCCGTAGAAATTTTATCAAAACCGTTTCAGTAGTTCAGTTTTAAAATCAAAATAATTCGTTTTGCCACAATTGAAGTAATTTTTTTTTTTTTGTGAAATACAATTTCAATATTACAATAACTTATTAATATCGAATTGTCTTGAATATGTTTTTTAACATTTATATATGTAATTTATAATGGCAAATAAACTGACAGCCCACCTGACTGTCGGCAAACCTGCCTTACGGGGGGGAAAGGGATTGTTAGTAATGGAGACTGAGAATCCCATAGCTAGCGATATACCCAACCAGGTCGACCTCCTCGCGGTTAATTCCTGATGAATTTATCATGATGGGCTAACTGGCCTGTTTTCATTCTCATCTATCACCCTTCACTGGTGCTCCGTCAGCGTATCCCGTTAGCGCAGGTGGGGTTACCATTCCATTTTCGCCCATCAAAAAAAAACCTGCCTTACGGCCCAATTAGTATAAAACTTTGTACATAGTTCAATATAAAATTATATGCATACATACATATACATACACACACACCACACCGTATATATTACGTTCATATATAATATCCATTTACGTAACACTTAATTACTTGTTCTTGATATTTATAGCACGTAGATGTTAATTCTAAATATATGTATATATATTGTAGTCCAAACAAAAAAAAAATTCATGTCAAAAAGAAAAAAAACATCAAATGAGTATATCTACTAATTACAGAGGAAAATAATACGTATAATGAATAATACATACATTATTAAAACATTATCATGTGTTTTAGTGATCATCAGCTTGTTTGCCATTCTAAGTTGTATAAAAAAAATACGTACTGTGAAAATTTACATGAAACACAGACACGCAAACATATAAACCGACTAAAAGTACCGTATCGTACCGTAAAAGGGATGGGTTTTTTTTATGGGTGAAAATGGAATGGTAACCCCGCCTGCGCTAACGGGATACGCTGGCGGAGCACCAGTGAAGGGTGATTGATGAGAATGAAAACAGATACAGCCCACTATGATTAACCCATCAGGAATTAACCATGATAGTTTCCAGGAGAAACCGCGAAGAGGTCGACCTGGTTGGGTATATTGCCAGCAATGGGATTCCTAGTCTCCATTCTTAACAATCCCTTTCCCCCCTAAGGGGATGGGGGGGTTGGTACTGAAGAGATTCAACGGGAGCTCCGAGGTACAAAAGATATAAAAGAAACGCCATAGAATCAGGTTGCTGAGCCCTATTAACACTTTGCTCTCGTATGCACCTCAGTGAAATTTGCTGGAGAGAATCAAATGAAAATTTTTGGTTGACACCCGAAAATAAGGGCATTATTTTCGGTGTCATCAAAATATTTCTCTAACATGCACCTTTCATTATCATTAGAACACTTTACTATGTGTTATTATGTATATCTGAACCAATATTATTTGATACACCTTGTCGATTTGGGGTCTATTTTGTAAAAACATGGTAACAAAGAGTTAAATAAATAAGCCAGGCCTGCTGGCAAACATACAAACAGAGAAAAAATGAAAAGCCACTTTTTTTTTTATCAACTTAAAATAGCAAACAAGCTGACGGCCCACCTGATAGAAAGTGGTAACCGTCGCCTATACACATGAGCAGTAGCATGGACATAACAGAGTATACTGTTTCGCCCATGATACCCCCCATGCGTTGCCATTTCTGAAGACTTAGGTGTTATTCCTCCATACCCTGTAAATTCACGCCATATCCCATTCTTCAAACCGAAACACAGCCATGCAAATACATAATAAACATTACCAAAAATATTTAATGTACAATTTCAATTTCATTACGATCACCTTAGTGCCTAAATAGTCGCATACAACGAGCTTTTATAGACGCTTTCTCTAACGCTCAGATTATGTACCTATTTGTAATGATAAGCAGGGCGTACGTAAAGCCTCTGATAGGCGTTCATAGGTTACTGTAACCACTTACCATCAAATGGATAATATACTTGTTTGCCACCTAATACAAAACCTCTATAAAAAAATATAAGTCCGAAAGTTTGTGAAAAGGATGGATGAATGTTTGTTACTCTTTCACGCCATAACTACGGAAGTGATTTAAATAAAATTTGCTACACGGGTAGGTTATATACTAATTTAACACATAATATACTTTAAATATATAAGTAGATTCAATCGGGTGAAACCGCTGTATAGAGCTAGTTTCACAAGTAAAGATAGGAAATTTTCATAATGTCCTTCTATTACTTTTTAACTACTTCGCGCCAAAATTATGAATATTGAATGGACTTGAAATTTGATTGACGGACAGGTTTATATAAAGGATGTTTTATTCACTATATGATATTATAATCAGTGGGAAATAGATCGTGAATCATAAATCTAATATCATCTTAATTAAAACAAAAACTATGTATTACATTATGTTCTTAGTTCTGGTACTTTGTTTGCACGTTCTCTTACTTATACTCGTGTTAATGCAACTTGCCAACGCAAACTGATCTTAATTTTAACTGAATTCCTATACGTAACTGACAGTATGCTTGCAGCTTCACTATCACGCTATAAAAGGAGAACTATTTTACTTCCTTGTAATTGTATAGAGTCGTTATTAATTTCCCACTATATGTATATGTGGCTACTTGAAATATAGAATGAAAAGATTCAAATAAAAATAATAGATAACTTTTTAAAATATTTATTGTAAAACATCGTGTTACAATGCATCCTTATTATTACTTATTAATTAAAGCCAGCTCCGTGCAAGAACCTTTATTAAAAACATTGGCTATGCAAGCCACATCCGAGCTAAGCAACGCCGACAATAGCCCCCAATGCAAACAACTAATCAATAATAGCTAAGACGAAGCGGTCGCAGATAATATTCAGGTCTCACCATAAAAAAAAATATTACAAATTATTTTATAAATCATGTTACATGCCAATGTATGATTTTGAACATTTATTTTCTTATATGCTACTTAATTGATTAAGAACAATTAAATGTTCTTGTCAAATTACTTAAAGAATTTATAATGATAATTTACAAAAAAAAAATCTCGTACATAAAATAATGATTTAATTGCTATTTTAAATTGTAATATTATAAATATTACACTTTAATTATACGGGAATTAAATTATAAATGATTTTTTACAATTCTTATAGAAATTAAAATATTTTTTTATTTATTTTCGTTTACCTAAATACCATTCCCAAAACTTACATTCCATTAATAAAATTCCTTATTTACCCTTCCTTATCTACCATAAAATTGACAAAAATATAATAAAATAGTATAAATAATATATTACTATTAAAAAAAAATAGTAATCTCCATTTACAAGTTTGGACTTTCCATGGATCCTGGCAATTCACGTGAACTATAAGTTCTTCTGGCCCTCACAAACATATTAGATTTATAAAATTTAAACAAAATATATATAACTATAATTATTAGTATCAAAGCAACACAAGTTTCAATAAACCATGGCTGACTCGTAGATTCCACTGGCTTTGTACTGACTACCAATTTTTCGCTACTAGGTCGCTTTGTCGATGATAATAATAATTCTACAGACCGAACACGTGAGTTTAGGGAAGATATTTTACTTTCCAATTCATCGAGTACATTTTGTTTCTCTACAGCCATAACTTCTCCTAAATCTTGTTTTATTTTATTTACATAAAGTATAATAGAATCGAATGTTGCATTGTCTTTTGACAGAGGTATCTGGGATATTTTAAATGTATTATTAAAAATCAATGCTTTTAAAATTTTCTGTAATAAAACATTAGTATAATTACTCTCTCTTGATACAACTGAGGAATAATTTGTCAATAATGTAAATTTTTTTTCAAAATCATTACTAGACTTTTCGATGTTGTCTGTAATATTTTTTAAGTAATCAATGAAATTAGTCTCTTTGGGATATTGTGTATTTCTTTCATTTGCCACTTTTGACATAATGTCTCTTATATCGTTTAAAATTTTCTCGCTTTCTAATAATTTGTTATCATTTATAGTACGATCTGAAGTGGTATGTGTAATTGCGTTACGTTTTTTACAAGTAATACCATGTGAGTTTTCATTATTTATATCAAACCGAATTGAAGTTACCTCAAAAGATATACTGCTCTTCTTCAAATTAACTATTATATCACAAGGTATTGGATTTTCGCCTATGCTCAGTGTTTTTAAGTTAGTTCTATTGAAATCATCCGCAGGTATCGTACTTATTTCATTATGGTCCACTATTAACTTTTCCAGGTTTTTAGCTTCGTAAAATCTTTCACTTTCTAAATCATTAATATAATTATATGATATATCTAATGTACTCAAGTAACTCAGCCCCCTTAAAATACCATACGTGAGTGTGGTTAACGAGTTGTGTGAAATATTAAGCCACTGTAAGTGAATATTATCCTTAAATGAACCAGGTTGTATATACGTGATTAAATTATAACTCAAATCCAATATGTTTAAGTAATTTAATTTTGAAAATGCATGACTATCTAATTTTTGGATTGTGTTATTATTTAAATCTAAATATTTAATATAAGGCAATAATTGCAAGTTTAACTTTGTTACATTTTTAATATCACATTGTGCTATATATAATTTTTTTAACGTAAGCGAGTTTCCATTATTTTCATATTCTATTTTTGTACGAATACCAGATAAATTTAAATCGTATAATTGTTTATTGTTTTGAATCAGGGACGTTTTGAAATTTAATTTTGAATTATATGACAGATCTAATTCCATTAATTTAGGCTGATCAAAAAAGGAACCGCTGTCAATAATTTGTATTTCATTATGTGCTAAATTAATTGTAGTCAGACCAACTAATCCTTGAAAAGAATACGAAAACATTGATTTTATTCTATTATTACTCAAAAATAGAGTCCGTAGATTTTTCAATTCCGTTGAATTTATAGTAAATTTTACTATCGCGTTATAAGAAAGATCTAATGATTCTACAGCACCCGTATGCGAGAATGTATTGTATTCTACTGCACTAATATTACTATGCGAAATATTGAGATCTTTTAATTGTGACATTCCATTAAAAGATTCATTTTTGATAATTGTTAACTGGGATCCTGAAATATCTAGAGATGGTAAAGAATTTAATCCATCAAAAGTACCTTCTTGTAACGCACCGCTGAGAGGATTGTTATGAATTTCAAAACTTATTAGATCACGTAATGACTTAAATGCTTTAGATTGTAATGATGATATATTATTATTGGATAAATCCAAAACTCTAAGCGAGTTCAAGTGACTATAATATTCATATTTTATTTGAGTTAAATAATTGTTGCGTAGCATGAGAGAACGAAGACTTACTAAATCTTCTTTATTAAACTCAATGCTGGTAATTTTATTGTTTGATAAATCCAAATGTACTAAACTGTGAAGTGATTTAAAACTTTTTTCAGATAAAATTCCAATGTTATTATGGTTTAATAATAGTTCTTCTATTTTTTCGAGGCCGAAGAAAGCATAATCTTCAATAGATGTTACTTGCTGATAACTTAAATCTAATTTCAAAACAAGTCTTAAACCTTCAAATAAGCCTTTTACAAGAGAACCCTCTAAACTGTTACCTGTGATAGAGAATTCAAAAATAATTTTATCTTTAAACATATCTTTGGGTAATGTCTTAAGTTTATTATTTGAAATATTAATCTTAGTCAAAAAAGTATTGTTCAAAAACGTATCTCGGTCTATTAAATCTATCTTATTATTGTTTATATTTATTGTATTTAAAAAAATCATATTACAAAATATGCTCTTTTCAATATTAACAATGTAATTGTGACTTAAATCCACTGATACCAACTTCTTCAAATATGCAAAATCTGTTTTTTCTATTGTGCTAATTTTATTATGGCTAATGTTTAATGTTGTGAGGTCAGTAAATCTGAACATTGAAGAGTTAATGTTACTTACCTCGTTATTTGAAAGGTCCAGGTATTTTAAGTGTTTTACGCCTTCAAATGTCCCTATAGTTAGCTGCGATATGTAATTATTTGACAAATCCAATGATGTAAGTTTACTAAATGAATCAAAGGTGGCATCTGGTATTTCCCTTAATAGATTATGTGATAAATTTAATTTGGTTAGATTTTTATAAGGAAACTCGTCGATTTCATTAACCTCTATAATTTTAATTAAATTAAACGACATGTCTATTTCACTTAAAAGTGGTAGTATCCACTTGTTTGAAAGTTTTGCGACATTAAAGTTGTTTCTCGACATATTCAAATACATTAAATTGTCCATTGGCATAAAACTGGGTGAAATACTATTACCATTATCGCTAAGATTAAGGCTTACAATTAAAAACTGATAAACGTTTGGAACAGTGAGTGGATCTTGGTGAACTATTTCGTTATATTTGAATTCAAGAGATACTTTTGAATAATAATTTGTATTGCCGTGATAAGGATTATAATGGTAGATAAAATTTGAACAACCATCATTATCGTCTACTCTAATTACATCGTCTCTTGTTTGTATAAAGCTTTCAAAATTATTTAAGTTATTCGTACAATAGATAACAGTTAGGCATCTTACATCATATCCACCTGTACATCCATCCTGAGGCCGTGTTACTGTAACCACATACTGAAATGTGTTTACTAATAACGAGATATCTGTAAAACATTTTACACAATTAGTTAATTATTACTCATTATCAACCAATCACTGTTAGTTTACAATTGCACAATTATCCATATTAATCCTTATACATATTATGAAAAATAGCGTTCAATCACGACTTTGTCCTCTAGACCAGGATACGCTCGCTTACGTTTAATATGAAAGTGAGTTTGTTTGTTACCTCTTAGCGCCTTATTGGCTTGACCAATTAAAGGATGGAGAAGAGAATAAGCTATTATTTATCCCGATCACGAGGAAGTACCCGCGAATACTAACTAGTATTAATGGGGGGGAGGGACATTACTAGCAATGTACTCAGTCAGGTCGACCTCCACGTGGTCCCTGGAAACCATCGTGTTAAATTCCAAGTGTATTCATTGCAATGGGCTAAGTAACCTGTCTTTTCATTGTCACCTATCATCTCTTACTGGTGCCCCGCCAGCGTATACCGTTAGCGTGGGCGGTGTTACCATTTCATTATCATCCCATAAAAAAAAACTTGTATTAATGTAGTTAATATTTCTGCAGTTTATATTATTTATGTAAGCTGAATTAAAAGTAAGCTTTAACAAGAAAGGTTCTCGTGTTATATGTCCCCATACAAATACTACGTTTACTTAGTAGTAGTTTAGGCCCGTGCCCGCGTCACAGTCACTCATGACTAAGGATCACGAATTGATTCCGAAACCAGTCGAGCTTTTTCGATCTAGTTACAAGTAAGTTAAACAGGTAGCCATTAAATTAAAACAAATCTTTCCTCTTTCCAGTATTAGTGTAGTCCATAAAATCGTACGATCGTAAATACATGCTTTTTATATAAGGAAACTTTGTACAGAAGGCCCACTAGGGCATGGGTACCACTGTCCCACCTATAACTTTTGGCAGTTGTGCTTCACTATAAATAATAATCTTATTAGTATAATAAAATAATAACTAGACGATGTCTATGTATATAAGAGATATTTATATAAGAAAAATTTAATGAGAAGTTTCAATAAAAGCAATAAAAGCTAAGACAATATTTTTTTACAAATTTGTTTGTCTGTACGTTTATTTATTTAACGCTTTATTGCACCAACATAACAGGATTTGTTGAACAATTTTCAATAAATATAGTGTAGTACAAAAGGCGATCTTATTGCTAAGCAATCTCTTCCAGACAACCTTTGGATAGAAAGAATTAAAGCATAAATAGGTATTTTTTAGAGTATACTGTTTCGCCCATGATACCCCCCATGCGTTGCCATTGCTGAGGACTCAGGTGTTATTCCTCTGTAGCCAGTAAATTCATGCCATATCCCACCCTTCAAACCGAAACCCAGCCATGCAAACACAACTGCTTCACGGTAGGAACACGAATGGGACAGAGGTACCCAAGCAATCGACTTTTGTACAAAGTCTATATCTATAAGCTAAGGTATTCTCCATTGCATCGAACCTACAATTGTTGCACTTATAAATTACATAGATACCTCTTATCTATGAATATTATTTTTTTTTATACCACTGAGACGGCAAACAAGTATACGCCCCACCAGGTGGTGAGCGGTTACCGTAGCCTATAAGTGCTTGCAATACGTATACCTCACGTATTGCAAGCATCGCGCGCGTTGCCAACCCTAAAAACATTTTTTTTATCCTTTGTTGCAGAACTCCATGCTGTGGTCTCTTGGAAAATCCTCGAATATTATGAGCAAGGCTGGATTTATCACTAAAAGATCTCTTCTAGCCAACCCAATACAATACAATACAACCCAATATCTTTTACTGTTTCAAGTTTTTTTTATAAAATTTAAAATAGAAAATAGCTAACGGCATACTTAATGGTAAGTGATAACCTTGGTCTATGTAAATGAATAGACTTGAGCTTCACAGTACTACTCATACCGTAAGGGGAAAAGAAATTATTAGTAACGCGGTCTAACAGCTCCGTTGCTAGCAATATACCATATCAGGTCGACCTCCACGCGATTCCTCCAAGAAACCATCGTGGTTGACTCGCTTCCATGCTCACCTATCATCTGTCATTGGTCGCCCGCCAGTGTTAAACAATAGCACGAGCGAAATCACCATTCCATTTTAACTTGAAAAAAAAGTCGTTACTTTATAATAGTATAATGGTATTGGGGGGGAAGGGATTGTTAGTAATGGAAATTGAGAATCCCATTGCTATCAATATACCCAACGAGGTCGATCTCCACGCTGTCCCCGTGGAAACTATCATGGTTAATTTCTGATGAATTCATCATGATGAGCTAACTGGCCTGTTTTCATTCTCATCTAACACCCTTCGCTGGTGCCCCGTCAGCGTATAACATTAGCGCAGGCGGGGTAACCATCCATTTTCACCATAAAAAATTACAATGGTATTATGCCTCCGTATCTTGTAATTTGGCAACTATTAGCAATACCCTCCTTATGGGGGAGACCTATGTCCAGCAGTGGACAGTTAACGAATTATATAATGATAATATGAATCTTATAATTTGGCTTAGGGTTAATGTTAAAGGCATCCATAGGCTACGGTAACCGCGTCTACCATCAGACAGGCCATATGTTTGTTTGCCTTCATAGTAGTATAAAAAAATAATCTTGTAATTTGACACCACATCCCCTACTATTTAAATCAAAACACAGTCATGTAAGCACAGCTGCTTCATAGCAAAAATACGTGTAGGACAGAGGTACCCAAACAGACGACATTTGTACAAATTCTCCCATCAAACTGTATTAAAAACAATACTTACAAAGTAATGGATCCATGTCAATTCCATATAGATTTTAATTTTAAATGTGGAATATGGTAGGTATTTTTTTTTTAACTGGAACAATAAAAAATATGTTAACAGCTGAAAAAAATAATGTATTTTATTTAAGAGCAAGGGAAGAGATTGTTAGTAATGGGGAGTCAATATATATAAATATACCCTATCAGGTCGACCTCCATGCGGTTCCTTCTCGAAACTATCGTGACTAATTTATCATTGAATTCGTCACAATGAGCTAACTGACTAGTTCTGATTTTAAAACCATAATTAATTTTAAACTTTTGCGTTGTTTACACATATTTTACATACCTGTCCTGACGTGATCACCACTTAGTGCAATCCACGTCGAAACGTCGGCAATAAAGAAACAGGTATGTAGGTACTATTTACCTGCAAAGTTTTTTCATCACGTTAACTCCCAATTGTGTATTTAAAAATAAAACACCATATTTTGTAGACACATTAGATTAACAATATTTAGTTTTCAACGCTTCATTATGTGTAATAATTTAAATAGTTTAAATTAAAATAATAAAATAAGGAATTCGGCTGTGTTTCGGTATGAAGGGTGGGATATGACAGTGAATTTACAAGGTACAGATGAATAACACCTGAGTCCTCAGGAATGGCAACGTATAGGTGGTATCATGGGCGAAACAGTACACTCTGTTATGTCCATGGTACTGCTCATGTCTATAGGGGACGGTTACCATTTTCTATCAGGTGGGCCGACAGCTTGTTTGCCATTCTAAGTTGCATAAAAAAAGGAATTCTTTATTTTTCTCACTGGAGCTTACAGTAAGCGTGCTAGTCTTCCTAACGATATAATCGCAATTATATAAAAATCAAACAAAAATAATAATTGTGTAAAATAAAACACACTTACATTAATTAATTATAAATTAAGCGTTACACTTCCATCTGAATCCGTACTTAAATTAGGAATGTCTATTAATATAATGTTTAAATAGTATAAAGTATTTAGGATTACGTCGTGAAATGTTAGAAACCATTCTAGAACTTTGTAAATTAACAATTCGCTTCTTGCAGCGTTGTCGATCGATGAAAACAATGGTTTTTCCTTTCTTTATTTCTACCCACTAGGGACTTTAAGCTGTTTGACTTAAAAATTTTAGCCTGTTTATAAATTAAGTTTTTTATTAAGACTTAGAATACTAATTATTTATATTTAAAAATATCGTAAGTAGTCGTTGACTGTAAACATGGACGCCATGTTTATGGCGTAGTATGTGTATATATTGCTAAATACACTGAATACCAACACAAAACTTCTTGTGTTACATGGGTATCAAAATACTTATGAGTTGCCATTTCTGAGAACTACATATGCGTATGCGTCCTTACACTGCAAAGTCACTGCAATATCCCACCATTCATTCATTCATTCATTTGCATTCCCTTTATGAGAGAGGCCTCTTTATTTATTTATTTATAAATAACTATTACCACACTTACAGAAACGAAACGTGTCGTTAGCCATAGGTTTATTTTACAAACTTTAAAATTTTAAACAACATTAAAAAAATATGTCTAATTTGTCATTAAATATATCAATATCCGGCTTCTGAGCAATTGGAGAGTTGAGCAGAGAAATGGCCTGATTAATTAATTGGTAATTGTGAGCAATGTTCAACAATCGACTGTTAAAAGCTAATATAATGATGTTGAGCCGACTCTTCGAAATACAGCCATGCAAGTACAGCTGCTTCACGGTAAAACACGCGTGGGATTCATGTACTTGGGTACACAAAAGACTTTTGTAGATACAAAGCTTAAATGTAGATAGAATGTCTTTACACAAATAATAATGCTTCGAGAAAAGCGTGTCAACTTTTTCATACAATTTTGCGTGATATGTGTAAGATACATTCTGTGTGTAAGTATATAGAACACTGATAAAGAAACGAGTCGGTCAATTTGATAATTAGCTGACAAAAAGTTGCCTCGTTTTTGAGACACGATGCTCTATCTATATAATACGAGGTTTGTCCGGAAAGTACGTATAAAAGTTTTTTAAAAATTTTATTTTACAATTATTCAGGTAAATCAATTTTATCCCCTTCAAAGTACTCCCCCTGTGACATAATGCACTTGTGCCAACGCCGTTTCCACTGTGAGAAGGCTCCTTGAAAGTCCTCTGGTTGTAGGTTTCTCAGCTGCCCCGTCGTAGCTTTTTTTATCTCATTTATGTCCCCCAAATGCCGCCCCCGAAGTACCAATTTGGTTTTTGGGAACAAGAAGAAGTCACACGGGGCCAAATCCGGCGAATAGGGGGGGTGTTCGGTCACCGTAATGGAATTTTTACTCAAAAACTCACGGAACGATCTTGGCGCAAATTTTTTTCATTTGAAGTTCGTTTCTTAGAATTTCGTGGACCACGGTTTTGCCCAAATTAAGCTCTTCAGCCACCTGTCTGACCGTTAAACGACGGTCCCCATTAACACAAGTTCGAATTCTTTCCACGTTTTCGTCGGAATGTGAAGTGGAAGGACGTCCTGAACGTGGGTCATCTTGAACGCTTTCTCGGCCCTCTCTGAATCTTTTTAGCCACTTGTGGACGGTTGGTTCCTTCACAGCATCATCCCCATAAACTGTTCTGAGATCGGCAAAAATTTCACGGCCATTCTTGCCGAGTTTCGAGAGAAACTTGATTACGACGCGCTGCTCTTCAACGGAAGCGGGCTCCATGCCGACGGGGTTTCGTTAAGAGGTAACTTCACAGATGGCGTGACAAGCCAGTTCGCACCGCACGGCGGTCAGACCAGAACTGAAGCATTGTTAGGGACATAAGGAAGGGGTCCTGCGCTTACCTGGCCTCTCCACTCCTCTTTCTCGCATTCCAGAACACTTTTATACGAACTTTCCGGACAGACCTCGTATAAGATACAAAGTTTTCCTCTGGTAAATTAATTCAATTTAAACAAACCAAATATACGGAACCATGTCTTAATATATACAAATAAATGTTAGGTCTTTATCAATGGTACTGACAGGACGTAATGTGATACCGCTGTTCATTTCAGTCTACATACAATTTTGTTTGTATATATGTACATTTATTATCATATTAATTATTAGATGTTTGGATGTTTGTTACATAATGACAATCCATTCATGTCCCACTACTGGGCATGAGTCTTGCTTTTTTTTTCAACGTTCCGTACCAAAAATATATAAAGGAAACCCCTTATGGTACGAGTATGTCCATCCGTCTGTCCGTGTGTTGTTTTTAAAATAAAATAAAGTTTTTTATCGTTTTTTCTTTTTTTTTTTCACCTATGAAATACTTGCAAAGTGTACTCTTTTTGAACAAAAAATAGTTGGTCACCTTACCATTAAAGAAAAATCATTGCATCATTCAGCCGTTTAAGCATGATTAAATAACAAATATACCGATGTCTGTACAAACTTTCACAATCAATTGACTCGCGACTTCCGTTAACGTATACAACATAACACCCTATAACACATACTTTAACCCTGCAAAATGTATTTATATGTATATACTAACCCTGCATTTGAAGATATCGATCTTCATGTCAATTTCCCTAGAAACTATCATAAATTAATTCTTAGAGAATTCAACACGAAGAGCCAAGCGACCCAACTTCATTTTCACCTATCATCTCTCACTGGACACCAACCAGCTATATAAAATAACATATTCAAATAGTACACATGTACTAAGTATTACTATTCCATTTTCACCCATTAAAAATTGTTTACATAGTGATTTTAAATGAAACAGTCAAAATATTAGACAGTTTATATATTACTGAAGTTATAGCTAAATCTAACGTTCATATTTTTCCAAATATTTCATAAGAATGACAAATCACAATGAGAAAACAATACAAATACAAATAAAGTAAATTAACCTCATTTACTCATCTTTGAGACAAAATGTACAACAACGAACAAAAACAAGACAGGCGTTGTAAATATTTTTTGCCTGACATCCTCATGAATGAGGCATTTAAATTTTAAACATTAAACACTTTTTACATGCTTTAGACAAAATTTTTATATTCTTTTTTTATCTTATTCAATTACATTTTGTCTCAAAATTAAATAGTGTAATCGGTTCTGAGGCACCATTTCTCAAAATCGATAATTATAGCATTAACCAAAATATTGAATTATTAATGAATTTTTAATTATACTTGTTTAATTTCAGTGTAGTATATGTAGTATACAATGGGAAACGACAATTCAACAAATACAATTAATTATAATCATAATTACAAGTAATAATGTTAACAAAACTGCTATTATAGTATTATACAATATGTTAATTAACATGATGCATTTCTTAAAATTAATGTTAGTATTTATTAATAAAAACTCATATTTTTATTCTAGATAAAATCTTAAAAAAAGTAGACAATTAATTAAAATTCTCAATAAAAAAATTGTATCTATACCAATGGCACTACACGTACAAGATATGTACCTATTATTATGTAATTCTGTTAGCATAGATACACATTGTTCTTTTCTTTTTAAAAAATATTTATTTTTTCTAGATTTTTTGGAAATACAAAGTTTATCCAGGGAAAAAGTCCTAGACTCTATAATGAATACTAACATTAATTTTATGGAATGGATTTGGTTAATTAACATACTGTTTATAACAGTTGTATTATTAAATTATTAAAAACTACACTTGATTATGTAAATATGTCTGTTAAAATACTATGCAATGGAAAACGTAAATACGACAATATATAATTATAATTAAATCTACATAAGGAATATAGTACTTATTATCTACCAGTTAAAATAACTGTTATTAAACTTAATAAAAATAAAATAATTAATGGCAGTATGTAAATCACAAAATAAACATTTTTAAGATCTTTTTTTTTAAATAGAACACCTTAAATGATATTCTTTTTTTTAAATTCCCTTCACAAAATAAAAGAATTCAGCAATCAAGCTTCACATAAACAAAGATTATTAATAACTATTGTAATAATTTTAATGAAACAAGACAAATTAATCATGCATTTAAAAAACTCAAATATTCTTCGATTCTGCATATAAAGAATGCCACATAAATTTTCTCAATACGTAGGTTTGGTTCTTGATAGCTTCCAAAATTTTTAAATTTACTGCCAATAAACGATCAGAATCCGTCAATGTACCAGATTTCGAATCTATCTGCACCAACTCTCCTATCTCTTTCTGCACGCATGGTATACCTTGCAATGAATGTTTTCCCGTTCCACCATTAAGTGCGTAAGGTCTCATTTTGGAGAAATTATTATTATAATCACTCAAAGCTGTTCCTAACCAATCACAAGTAAAATTGTTACCATCGATGTAAACTTTTAATTCGTGCTTGTGAGCAACCCAGCCTTTGTAATCCAAGAATATCATGCTATTATGCTCGATGGACAGAATATAAAGGGATCTCAGATCTATAAAAACTTTAGAATCTAAATAGGATATGTCATTATTAGATAAATTTAAATATACGAGACTCGTCATACCTTGAAATATTCCGTATTCAATTCCAGTCAAATCATTATGAGACAACCGTAAAGTCTTCAACTGTCTAAATTTATGGAAAGTTGCGGGAGCTATTTTACTAATATCATTGTAACTTAGATCCAGATGGGTGATGTTAGTTGGCAAGCACAATGAAGATGAATTTAAATATTGTATGTAATTATTGCTCATATCAATATGCTCGAGATCAATTTGGTGTTTTAAATCGATATTCGTAGGATCCGATATGTTATTAGATTGTAACATCAACTTTTTTAAACGCATACCTTCACCTGATGGAATATTCATTTTGTAAATAGCATTGTTAGATAAATCCAAAATGCCTTCATCAGGATGAAATATCTTTATGTGCAAATTTTCCAATACTTTCAAATCATTAAATTTCATATCAATGCGCTTCAGTTGATAATTATTAATAAAAAGGAGGTCTGGTATACCATCAATGTAGTTATTCGACAAATCCAAATTCTGCAGTCTATTCATAGACAAAAAACATTCCAAATTTAATTGAGTTATATAATTTTTGCTCAAATTTAAATATTCAATATAAACTAAATCGTCAGCGTTAACTCGAAAATTTGTTAATTTATTCTGAGACAAATCAAGCGATGTCAAACGTACTAAATATCTGAAAGCGTTATACTCAATAGTTGTTATAGAATTCTTGGACAAATCTAATTTAGTCAGTACATCAACTCTCTTTTTATGATGGTCGTGTCGAGTGAACCGAGACATTAACTCTACAGAGGTAGCATTAGGCAAAAATGTCAAATGATTTTCAGAAAGTAAGATTTTGCAAACGGCGCGCCCTTCAAAATGCTGCCAATGTCTCAAAAACAATTCAGGTGTCAAAACGTCTAGTTGATTCCACGAAACATCCAAAATTACTAAATGCTTTAAGAGTTCCAAGGAATCGTCATCTATAATTTGTATCTCATTTTTGCTCAAATACAAATTTGTTAAATTACCCAAAGCATTTAAAGCACCAATTTGATTTTTAATATTGTTATTATTTAGACGCAGTGTTTCTAAATTGGTCAAATTGTCAAAAGAGTTTTCGTCTAAGTACGATATCAAATTGTAAGAAAGGTCTAATTCTATCAATGATGTGAGGTTTTCGAACGCACTGGAAGGTATTTGTTGTATTTCGTTGTGTGCTAGATTAAGATGTCTCATTCTGTTCGGTAACATTTCAAATTCAAAAAGACCTTCGACGTCAGATAAACGGTTGTGAGATAAATCCAAATATTCTAATTGTGTAAGTGTATAGAACGCGTTCTCTGTAATTTTTTCTATTTGATTGCCAGAAATATTAAGTGTCTGAAGCTGTGGCATATACTGAATAAGAGAGAGATTGGTCTGAGGCCATACTCCGGATGCTCTAAGACTTGTAATGGAGTACAGGAACTTTGGATTCATGCTTTTATCGAACCTGTCAATAGCATCAGAGAGGTAGACATTGACTTTAACATGATAGTTGGTGGAGCCTTGGCAGTGTTCAGGTAGACCAATATCTTGGATAACCCTTATGCAGTGAAATCGATAACTACAGTTGCCAGTATTATATGACTTTTCAAGAGGACAGTAGCAGAGACACGATGAAACCATCAGCAGCATGATCAAAACGAACGATGTATATACTGAAAAAAATAATAAGCAAAATTAATTAAAAATGATCTGTATCATTTCGAATATTAAAAATATTACATATTTATGTATGAAAATAGAAATAATAAAAAAAAATAGAAATACTGGAAAGGTTTCAAAGTAAGACAATAAGAAACATGCTTAATATACCACAATATATAAGTAATAAATTTATGTATATGGACATCAAACTGAAAACGATAAAACAGGAAATCGAGACATTCAGCAAAAACTATCAGTCCAGATTGAACAGCCATAGAAATGAATTGGCCGCTCAATTACAGGGATCGGGAAGCATTAGTTTCTCTCGTTTAAAAAGACACAGTATCCAAGGTAGAAAGATTTACAGGCAGAAACTGAGAGCTGGTTAATGGATTGGCCTTATCATTTATTAACAAAATTTAAACCTGACATCCAAACAGCAGATTGGATTATTGTTCTATAAGGAACAGATTGCCAATTAGCAGACTAGAAAAAGAAAAAAAAATTAAGTAAATAAAAATTTCGAAGCGAGCAGGAAGTCATCTTTAGATATAATTTTCATATATTTTTTGTATGTTGGTTTGTAATAAACAAAATTCAAAATCTACTTAATAATTTTTAATAACATAACATAGACTCTATGTTATGTTATTAAAATTGATTAAGAAATGTAGAATTAAAGGAAACTATAAAGTGTTATAATTTTAAAGCTATTGTTTTTATTTAAATTACAGTGTTTTATGATTTGTAATCGTTTGGGGTATGGGGTTTCATAAAATTTAGTAAGCATTCTGTTATCTTAAAGTTTAGGAACCCATAACATAGACTAATTTCCTCTTCAAAATAATTAGAAATCCCTACGAATATTACAATAATACAACTCAAGTTATCCAAAATTTGACTGTTTTAACAGGCAAATAACTTTAGCTAATATAAAAAAATATAATTTATTTTCCTATCTAGCAATACGAAGCCAATTCATATGATTTCTATATCATTTTGCAATTATTATTACCATTCATATAATACACTGTTATGCTAAAAACCTGTTGGTATAAATTCCTATAAATATATAAAATGGAAATACTTTTTCATATATATATATATATAATAAGTCAACTATGGAGAATAAACGCAATAAGAAATAGTTTTAAAACGTTTAAGCCGTGATGGGGCCCTTTTGGGATCCTAGTAAATAAAATACATTGTATATGTAAATACATATATTGTATCGGTTATTTACATTAAAATATATGTAGTCCAAAAATATAGTAATTAGGTGTAAAATATATAAAACCATTCCAAATACAAAATCTTTAACATTGATAGTTGTTAAAATAAAACGCAGACAGACAAATAGACCGAGTTCTTTTTTTTATACCACAAAGACGTCAAACAAGTATACAGCCGGTCTAATGGTAAACGGTCACTGTAACCTCCTTCCTTTCCTTTAAAAGGTTCCTTTGTACCATTTTAAAAAGATATAAAATAGATTACCAAAATACAGTGATGTACCAAAGTCACAAGAATCGGCCGTGTAAGAGTGATGAGTCTGATGATGCAAACGTTTATAGGCTGCGGTGACCATTTACCATCAGGAGAGCCGTATATCTGATTGCCTTATCTAATTCGATTTAATATTTATCATTTAAGACTCACCTGCCGCCATTTTTGTCATGTTGGCATTCCTGGAGATTAGTTTTCAAAAATTCTGAAATAAATACACGACAATTTAAGATTATATATTTCATAAAAAAAGAAAATATTTAATCGTGATAAAATAATACAGACATTATCATCATCATCATCATTTTAGCCACTATTCGTCCACTGCTGGACATAAGCCTTCCTCTATATCCATATTATATAATGATCACATTATTAGTATGATTATTTCTATCGATTTAAAAACAAAATCAAAATTAACTCACAAAAAAATTAAAATAATTGTAAAGTTCCTCCCTTTTCAATCCGACTTCAAAAAAGACTTTTTTTTCCATCCCATTTTTTCATTCACCCAACTCATAACAATAATAATTAATATACAGTCGTATGAGACTTGAATAAATTGTAAACAAACTACCTGAGCATAGAACATTCCTACAGTAACCTGATCATGTTCGTGACATCATGGGAGTAAACGTTTTGATGACTTCATTGTGTTTTTTTTTTCTATAACCAATCAACTTATCAATTACAAGAAGTTGAATATATATGTAATTCCAAGCTCATTGTTATAATGTATAATTAATAACAAATACTAAAATACAGTTTTATATAATATTAAACTATGTATATAAAACTCTGCTTCTATACAGAAATTGTGAAATGCACACAATAAAAACATAAAATATACTTTTTATGTGAGTTATAAATTTTCGATAATAAAACAATTATAAAGAAGTAGCAATAACGATTTTAATGCTTATTTATAATTATTTAAATTATAATATTGCATGCGATAAATTCAAAATATAAATGGCAATATAACTCTAGTAAAAGTTATTAAATATTAAATTATTAACAAACGCACTAAAAAGTATTATCAGTCATCCCTTTTTTAAAGTTAATTATAAAATAATTACTTATATATAAATATTAAAATTAGCTAATTTGTTTTTTTTTTCATTTGTCTATATCAATAAATACTGGCTGAAAATACTATTACACCCCGTCCCCCCTACCGTGGGTACTTAAAAAAATATAATCTATATTGGCAATGCATAAGATAATGTATTTTAGTTTCTGTTTATTTTTAATTGTTAAATTATGTATACAACCATGTTGTAGTTACTTTTTATCAATATTAATCCCCCCATAATACTAAAGGGGGTTGGGGCTGTAGCCCCTTAACATAGGTTATAATATTAACCTATTTTGAAAGCCTAGTTCAAACCACAACTACTGTACCCTTTTAAAACTATAATATTAATATTAGTAAACTTAAGAAACTACATTTATGTTTTTTACGAATAAATCTCATTTCACTTTTTTTTTTCATTTCAATCTACGAATATAAGAAAATTGTATACCACAAAAAAAAAAAAAAAACACTTCAATTGTGACAAAACTATAGTTTCTTTGATCTAAAACTAAACCACTGAACCGATTTTGATAAAATCCCAATAGAGCCAATTTGTAAGTATATCCTTTGAAATAAAAAAATAATTTCTCAAATCGATATAAAACTGATGAAGTTATGAGAGAACAAACCTAAAAAACATTAGACTTCTTCTTTTTGAAGTCAGTTAAAAACAGAATCAATTCAATTTATTTGGTTTAACAATATTACATTGTTATTGAATATGATATTTTTTTAACATTTTATTGGTACAAAATCACAAACATACAACAATTTCACAAACAAATAAGTCGATAATAAATGGTCTGAACTAATTTAAAAAAAAATTAGTAATTATATACAACAGACGAATTATTTATTGCTAAAATTAATTTATTAATCAATTAAGGCATTTCTCTTTACATTATATAAATGCTAGCAAAAGTTATCTTGCTCCTGCGCCACGTACCGGTGCCATTTTACCAGGATAAAAACTACAATATCTCTCAAATTGGAATAAACCACACACATTTTTAAATTTATTTAAAATCAGTTGAGACACGGATATTTTATTTAATAATGAAAAAACAATTTAATAAAAAAAAAGTAAATTTACCTTAATCTAGAAGCCATATATTGAACGTTCGTCACAACTCAGTACCAAGCTCAAAGTCCGTACAATACATAACATAATTCGACGCCTAATGTTCTGCTGATCCCAGTGAAATGAGAATGCTAATGTCCATACTCCGTCAAGAATTAATTTCCCATACTTATCACCGTTTACCTACGACCACAATGTATCTCAGAGACATTTTTTTTTAATGGATGATAATGGAATGATAATATCGCCTAAGCTAACGGTGCACTGGTGATGGATGATAAGTGAGAATGAAAAGGCACATCAGTTACCCCATCATGATGAATACAAAAATGAAAATCAGCACGATAGTTTCCAGCGGGGAATACGTGGAGGTCGACCTGATAGGCTATATCGCTAGCAATGGAACCAGTAATACGCATGACTAACAATCCTTTCACCTCCCTCAGAGACATGTTATCTATACAATAATCAATCGTTTACAAAAACGTGTAGTTAATGAGGATCTAACAGCCATATACACCTATTAGGTCGACCTCCATGCAGTTCCCCCTGGAAACAATCTTGAATTCTTTATGAATTCGTCACGATGGCTAACTGAACTGCTTTCATCCTTTTTTTTTCTTTATACAACTTAGAATAGCAAACAAGCTGACGGCCCACCTGATGGAAAGTGGTACCCGTCGCCTATAGACATGAGCAGTGCCATGGACATAACAGAGTATACTGTTTCGAGGTTTTGCCAGTAGTTGCCACACTTGGCAGGCAGGTTGGCAGCCATAATTAGGCTTTGATGGTGTTTTAAGAGGGACACTGCTGCCTATCCCTCAACCATTAAGTTCCTTAAGTTCCCTTAGTCGCTTCTTACGACACCCACGGGAAAGTAAAGGGTAACCCATTCTATTCCGGGACCATTCGGCGAAAAATTTAAAAAAGTTTAATAAGGGCATAAAAAATCAGACGAATTAAAAATCTCCTCCTTTTAGATAGGTAAAGAGGTTTCTTCAGGGTCGGCAACGCACGCGTAATACCTCTGGTATTGCAGGTGTTCATAGGCTACGGTAACCACTTACCATCAGGTGGACCGTATGCTTGTTTGCCACCGCAGTGGTGTAAACAAAAAAACATATCACTTAATTGCAGGAAAAAAAATAACTGTTGTTTCTATTTAAATATATTGTTAATGTAATAATTATTATACGTGTAGGTAAAATGTAATACACAGCGCAAATCAAAGTGTCACATCTACGAATATTTTGCCATTGCCAGATTCAACGGTCATCAAAATCTTCGAATTCCGGGTATTCATCGCCATAATGGACAGGGAACATGGCGGCACAATCGTCTTCGCCGGAGATGGGGTCCCGACTAACATATGTGGGATTCAAATCCATCAGTTGCAATAATGCTAAATCCACTTGTATGGACAGCATGAAAGCGATTTTTACGTCTTCACTGAAATAGATGTTAAGTTACGTATTTATTTCATTATCATCATCACTGGTACCACGGCAGCGTGAAACTTTATTAACTCCAAACCGATAATATAACTAATAGGCAAGAATAACGATATGACAGACGGACAGACAAAGTTGCATCAAAAGGGGGACTACAAAATTCTTACAAATGACCCCTTAACTCTGTTCCGTTTATAATTCACCTACCAAATATAATATTATAAATGTGAAAGTAAGTTTGTTCCTTACCTTATAGCACTTTGACAGCTCAATCAATCATTATTATGGGGTGAAAGGGATTGTTAGTAATGGTTTCTAATAGCTTCATTGCTAGCAATATACCCTGTCAGGTCGATCTCCTCGCGGTTCCCCCTGGAAACTATCGTGTTCTATTCCGAGTGAATCCATCACGATAGGCTAATTGACCTGCCTTTTTTTTATACTACTTAGAATGGCAAACAAGCTGACGGCCCACCTGATGGAAAGTGGTAACCGTCGCCTATAGACATGAGCAGTACCATGGACATAACAGAGTATACTGTTTATTGTCACCCTCACTGGTGCCCTGCCAGCGTATAGCGTTAGCGCAGGCGAGGTTACCATACCATTGTCATCCATTAAAAAAAAAGTACCATGATGATGTCATCATAACATTAGCGCCCATACAACACCGTTCGTATGTCCCTAACGATAACACGACAATTCGGGACGCATCGGCCTGTCTAGACATATCCGTTGGACAGCTGGTAATTTAATACTGTTATTACACGTATGATTTATTTTTACTACATGCGTTTCGCGGCTTTGCTCGCCTGTCCTATGTATTGATTAATAAAACCTATTCATGTGCCAAATTTCATTCATATCCGTTCAGCTGCTTCAGCATTAGCGAATAACAAACATATAAATATTCACATTTTTTTTATAAATAGAATGTTTATGTAAAAAAACAAACGGCCTACCTGAAGGAACGTTTTTATGGTTACTATTGTAGCCCGCGCTATTAGTATAGACCGGCGGGGCACCAGTGAAAGACGATAGGTGAGGATGAAGCAGGTGAGTTAGCCCACCGTGACGAATTCAACAAGAATTGTTCACGATGGTTTCCATGGGGAACCACGTGGAGGTCAACCTAATAGGGCATATTGCTGGCAATGGGGCTGTCAAACTCCATTGCCAACAAACCTTTACCCCTCATCATGGTATGATTAGGGGGGAAAGGGTAGAGGGAGACTTTGTACAAAAGTCGATTGCTTGGGTACCTCTGTCCAATTCGTGTTTCTACCGTCAAGCAGTTGTGTTTGCATGGCTGTGTTTCGGTTTGAAGGGTGGGATATGGCGTGAATTTACAGAGTACAGAGGAATAACACCTGAGTCCTCAGGAATGGCAACGCATGGGGGGTATCATGGACGAAACAGTATTATACTCTGTTATGTCCATGGTACTTGCTCATGTCTATAAGCGACGGTTACCACTTTCCATCAGGTGGGCCATCAGCTTGTTTGCCATTCTAAGTTGTATAAAAAAAATCTTGCAAAGTAAAGGTACTGACCTGTCATGCCTCTTTGCAAGCGAGTCGTATTGTCTCACAGTGTATGCTATGTGAACTGCGTGGGGTGGTGACTTAGCTTTAAATATACCCATCTGTATAAAAATTACATCAGAATATATTAATTTTATCTGAAGTAAGAATAATATGTATCACTACTCATTCATCATCATCATCAGCCTTTAACCGTCCACTGCTGAACATAAGCCTCCCCCTTGGAGGGTTTTGCTAGTAGTTAGCAACAATTTTGGCAATTAGGCTTTAGAAACGTTTTAAAATGGACGCTGCTACCCATCCCTCGCAGGGGGGAAAGGGACTTTTGTACAAAGTCTCTCTCTGGTATAGTATGGTCTAGGCTAGAGGATGAAGCAGGTCAGTTGGCCTATCTAGTCAGGTGACGATTTTTTTGATGGGTGAAAATGGTATGGTAACCCCGCCTGCGCTAACGGGATACGCTGGCGGAGCACCAGTGAAGGGTGATCGATGAAAATGAAAACAAGCCAGTTAGCCCATCATGATGAATTCATCAGGAATTAACCATGATAGTTTCCAGGGGAAACCACGAAGAGGTCGACCTGGTTGGGTATATTGCTAGCAATGGGATTTTTAGTCTCCATTACTAACAATCCCTTTTCCCTCCCCGAAAACTCTTGTATTTAATTCCCGGAAAATTTGACACGACGGCCCAACTGACCTAACTGATACAATTCGAAAAAGGTAGAAAATAAATTAAGATTTACCTACCTCTTTCTATATAGTGCCCTACCCCGTGGAGTCATTACTTTTTTTTGGAAAGAAGTGATTTCTTTTATGATTTTTTTTTTTTTACAAAATTGTCGTTTCTAGGTAATCATATAGTTTTTCTTTTTTGTTTTGGACACTATACATTTAAAACGATCAATATATTTTCATGACATTGTTATTTTATTATCAATAACAGTGTCCTATTTACCACAACAAGCCCACCCTAGAGATGTATGCAATAACAAAAGTGCAAGGTAATGCAAAAATGCAAAGTATACGAGGATTCCCCGCTTTTAGAATGCGCAGCAAATTCTTATAAATGTTGACGTAATCACTTGCTGTATTACGTTACGCCGAATGTAGAACAAATGTGTCTACAGTAAGACAGAATACAAATAAAGTTGTAATCTTTTTCAACCGACTTCGAAAAAGGGGTTCTCAATTTAGTTGTTTTTTTCTTCTATGTTTGTTACCTCATATATATGAGCCCATATTGCCCACCAGTTCAAATCTGATGTAGATACATCAGATTTGAACTGGTGGGCAATATGGGAATACCGGAATGGGGAAATAAATGGGACTAATCTGTGTTGGTCCCATAGAAATGTTCTCAAAATAGATTCAGTAATTTAATTTTTAGATCAAAGTAACTGTTTCCGCCACAATTGAAAGCGGTAACCGGAAACACAAAAGGAGGGAAAGGGATTGTTAGTAATGGATGTTAGACTGAGAATCCCATTGCTAGCAATATATCCAACCAGGTCGACCTCCTCGCGGTTCTCCCTGGAAACTATCATGATTAATTCCTGATGAATTCATCATGATGGGCCAACTGGCCTGTTTTCATTCTCATCTTTCACCCTTCACTGGTGCTCCGCCAGCGTATCCCGTTAGCGCAGGCGGGGTTACTATACCATTTTCACCCATAAAAAAAAAATCAGAAACGCAAAAATATCTTCATAAATAACAAATTTATAAAACCTGTAAAAAACTGCAATTATCTAAATATTTTCGATACAAATCATTCAAATCGGATATTATGAAACAAGAATATTTTATAAAAAAAAAAAAAGTACCTAATAATAATAAAAATAATGTCACATAACTCCCAGACGTCAAATACATTTTTCTTTATAGGATAAATATACACAAAAATTGAGAATTCCATATGAAAAAAGCACAAATCACTTGTAAACCTGCTACTATCGTTTCAATTATCACATAATAATAGCTAGAATTAAAAAACAAAAATAAATAGAACCAAATATGTAGTACCAATATTACTCGTGCCTACTAGATGCACAGAATTTAAATTCACTCAAATATACATATATTTATTTGTATATAATGTAATATAAATTATATATATATTGTTATATACGGTAAATGAAAATCTTATATACCAGAGGGAGACTTTGTACAAAAGTCGATTGGTTGGCCACCTCTGTCCCATTCGTGTTTCTACCGTGAAGCATTTGTGTTTGCATGGCTGTGTTTCGGTTTGAAGGGTGGGATATGGCGTGAATTTACAGGGTACAGAGGAATAACACCTGAGTCCTCAGGAATAGCAACGCATGGGGGGTATCATGGGCGAAACAGTATACTCTGTCATGTCCATGGTACTGCTCATGTCTATAGGCGACGGTTACCACTTTCCATCAGGTGGGCCGTCAGCTTGTTTGCCATTCTAAGTTGTATAAAAAAAAATGAGTAGCTGTTTACTAATTATTATGTATTCCACCCATCAAAATTCTAATTATTTGTCTAAATGTTAATCATGCTGTATTGTATACACATGTTTTTTAATTGTATGTAACCCAGTATTTTTTTTTTTGATGGGTGAAAATGGTATGGTAGGCTGCGCTAACGGGATACGCTGGCGGAGCACCAGTGAAGGGTGATAGGTGAGGATGAAAAAGCAGGTCAATTAGCCCATCGTGATGAATATATCAAAAATTAACCACGATGGTTTCCAGGGGGAACCGCGTGAAGGTCGACCTGTTAGGGTGTATTGCTAGTAATGGGTTTGTTGGAACTCATTTCTAGCAGTCCCTGTCCCCCCTGTAACCCAGTATAAAAACCATAATTGTCTATATAAATATATATAATAGATAGATAGATACTCTTTATTTTTTTCTCCAAAAGATTACAATAGTAAACTTATTATAGATACAAACAATTACAAGAAATAATCACAATGAGAAACCAATGGGCGTTCTTATCGCTAAAAGCGATCTCTTCCAGGCAACCTTTGGATGGAGAGGAGTAATTATAAACAGTTTGAACGGAGGCACGACAAAGATCCTATTATTTCTAAATATGGAGATATAATAAACCTAATAATAATACAAATAATACAATTATTTGTATTATTATTATAAATAATTATTTGTTATGTGTGCGTCATTAAAATAAATAAATATTAAAACAGTAAAATAATTTACAATAATTAGAATTAATTAATTAATTATACGAATAGTAATTATACATTCCATAAGAGATAAAGGCGACTCTAAAAGCCTAACTGCGGTTGCCAACCCGCCTGCCAAGCGTGGCAACTACTGGCAAAACTCTCCTTATGGGGAAGACTTACGTTCAGCAGCGGACAGTAAATGGCTGAAATAATAAGATAAAGGGCTTCTTTCATTCTATATACGTATACTCACTTTTTTATCAACTTAGATATTTTAACACTAATTTAAACTAATATTATATAAAGAGGAAAGATTTGATGTATTGTTTGTAATGGATAAACTCAAAAATATATTGAAAACAAAAAACTAAATATATTATAAAAGATTTTTCATTTATATCATAGAAAGCTATATTAATACATATAATAAAATAGTAACAGTTCACTGTCTGTACATGGAAGATATATAAGAAAACCTATTATTATGGGGGCTTTATCAGCACAATGGAACCCAAACAAAGATTTTTAGAATTTTTATCTTTTTGTCTGTACGTTTGTGCACGTTTGTGTGTTACTAAGTACACATACTACATACATATCTGTCTAAGTAGACATCTTTTTATTAAATTGATTATGACAACACCTTAGTACCTAAACGTCAGCGTAATATAGGCAGGATACTTTTACAAACAAAACGTGCCTAATTCCCACGGGAAAATGTGCCAATGACTCGCGAACGTCGCTGACATAGATATAGTTCAGTTACATTCTCATGAAGTTGTATTACTTTATAAAAATTTGAACAAACAAATAAGTGGACTCGAACATAGTCTACTGATATTCAAAAGTAGTACAAATCATACAAAATTTAAATTTTTAATTTTTAATAGGCGCCCACGTGAAAGGAAGGGTTGGCTCATTCTATGATACGATGAGGACGTAATATATATATATATATATATATATATATATATATATACGTGAAAGGAAGGGTTGGCTCATTCTATGATACGATGAGGACGTAATATATATATATATATATATATATATATATATATATATATATATATATATATGTTAATGTAGATAATATGGTTATTATATGTATTATTATATCAACCGTTAACTATACACTGCTAAACATAAGCCCTCCCCATAAGGGAGGCTTTGCCAATAGTTGCCACGCTTGGCAGGCAGTTTAGCAGTTAGACTTGGGTATTATAACAAAGACGCTGCTACCCATCTATCGACCGTTAAGTTCGATCTCGATCGAGATTCGAGTTCGATCGACTTAAGTCGCCTCTTACGACACCCACAGGAAAGGAAGGGGTGGCCTATTCTATTCCGGAGTATATGAAGTATGTAGTGTAGTATAGTAATGGATTGGTATAAGTATTATGGTGTTTATATCCATCTGACACTTACATGAATAACTGATGCTTTATATTTTTTTACAGCTTCCAGTGCTGCGTACCGCTTATTGATTTCAAGCATAACCAGTACATGTGGCGGCAGGTACTCGGACTGAGGGGCAACGAATTCGGATACCAACTGAAATGTACAATTTAAGTAAATATATATTTATAATTTTGCACGTATTACATCTCTATACGCATTTAAAATTGATGAAATTTTTATCGTGCCTCCGATCTATAGATTTCCTGGAAGAGATCGATTTTGGATCGACTTCAAAAAGAAGGAGATTTCCTATTCGACTGTATAATCTTCATACTAATTTTTTTATACAACTTAGAATAGCAAGCCGACGGCCCACCTGATGGAAAGTGATTACCGTCGCCTATAGACATGAGCAGTGCCATGGACATAACAGAGTATACTGTTTCGCCCATGATACCCCCTATGCGTTGCCATTCCCGAGGACTCAGGTGTTATTCTTCTGTACCCTGTAAAGAAAATTTGTACAAATGGCAAACTTAATGCCATATGGTATTCTCTACCAGCTAACCATTAGGTAAAAACAAAAAGCGTATATTACTAACAATGAAGAGGCTTTTTTATGGTACTCAGAATGACATATAAACTGACGATCTACCTAAAAAGTGTTAACTATCACATGTAGACGTTATCATCATCATCATCATTATATCAGCTTTTAATTGGCCATAGCCACTGCTGAACATAAGCCTCCCCGTTGGGGGGTTTTGCCAGTAGTTGCCACGCTTGGCAGACAGATTGGCAACCACAGTCAGGCTTTAGAAACATTTTAAGAGGGATGCTGTTGCCTATCCCTCGCCTTCCCTTAATCGGCTCTTACGACACCCACGGGATAGGAAGAAGTGGCCTACGGCACCACACGACTTATAGACGTGAACATCACCATAGACATAACAAAATACAAAAATGTAATATCCTGAGAACTCGGCTGTTGTCTCCAAGATAAGGACCCTATAATATATCCTGCCATGTCCCACCCTTCACACAGAAACACAGTCGCACGAACACGGCTGTTTCTGAATAAGCAGGGCAATGTTCCAATCAGACGACATTTGGACAAAGTCACTCTCTGGTAGAACTTCTCATTACTAATAATCTCTTCCCCTCTCCTTCCCCTATGAACAACGGGACCTTCTTTAACAAATGAATGTTGAGCAGTAACTCCACTTGCGCTATCAGCATACGCTATGAAGGGCACCAGTGAGAAATGATTGATAAGAATGAAAAGGCAGGTCAATTGCTATATCATAATAAATTTAACAACAATTTATTACGATGGTTTCGGGGGGAACTGCATCGAGATCGACGTAAAGTATATTCTAAAAAAAGGTTTTTTAAACCTTATTACTCCTTTAAATCCTTTTTCCTTTAACCACGGGACTTTTTTTAATGGGTGATAATGGAATGGTAACCCCGCCCGCGCTATCAATATACGCTGACAGAGCACCAGTGAGGGATGATAGGTGACGATGAAAGCAGGTTAATTCTAGTGGATCATGATGAGATCCATTGGAATTAACCACGACAGTTTGCAGGGGGAACCGCGTGGAAGTCGACCTGGGTTTATTTCCTGCAATGGGCCAGTTAGATTCCATTACTAACAATCCCTTTTTCCCCGAACAGCGGGACTATGACTGTATGGATAAGTGACGATATTAATGTACCTTCGGGAACAATATAGCAAGTCCATTAGCCTTCGCAATGTCATTGGGTGGCGCATAGAAACCAGGCACAAGGAGTCCAGCTGGCGGGAAGTATTCACTTTCGTCTTGCTCTCCAGTACTTTCTTCTTCGACTTCTTCTGGTGACTCCTAAAATATCCAGATAAAAGAATAGAAACACAAAGAAATTAAATTCTAAATTCAACAATGACGTGGCATGACTTAATGATACGACACACTGCTTGGTGTAATGAGGTTTCAGGTTCGATTCTCGGTCAATTTAAGAATTGAACTTATCAAAATGGACTCGGTCTGGGTGTTTTGAGTTAAGTCTTCAAATGCTCTTTGCTCTATTCCTCATAACACAAGGAATCCTAACTTGAGGGTCAAGATTTTAGTGTAATTAAATGGCGCTTATTAAAAAAATAATTACCAAAAATAATCTTTATAGAAATATAACAATTCATATACATACCTCTGGAACATTTATGTCTACTTCTTCATCTTCAGATTCTTCTCGTAAGTTATCAAAAGCAGATAAATTCTGAAATAAGCTTGTGTATTTAATTACCATTTATTTCTACATTTTTTATTTTTTCTACTATCATAAAATTAAATAATAAGACATAGAGTATACAGAATTCAGTTTTCTACAAAGAAATATCTTCAAATAAAAGAAACGTTGCAATAATGATCGGAAAGAATAGCTTTCTAAGCTCTGTGATAAGATAAAAAAAAAACTAATGGCTCAGCTGAACAGTAAAGAAAAACTAGACGCCATTTAAATGTTACTGTAATGGTCCTATTTTAATAGAATACTAGCGATCCGCCCCGGCTTCGCACGGGTGGAACGCTAAAAAATGTGTTTATTTACGATATTACATTAGAATATTATCATTGTTCCCTATTATATTATGCATGTATTATACATATAAACCTTCGTCATGAATCACTCTATCTATTAAAGAAAACCGCATCAAAATCCGTTGTGTAGTTTTAAAGATCTAAGCATACATAAGGACAGACAGACAGCGACAGCGACTTTGTTTTATACTATGTAGTGATGAATAAAATAAATGAAGTAAATCATAGTATTTATTTTATATGTATTCATCATTATTCATCATCATCATTTCAGTCATAGAATAGCATTTTTTTAATGAATGATAATGCAATGGTAGCCGCGATTGCGCTAACGGTATACGCTGGCGGGGCACCAGTGAGGGATGATAGGTGAGAATGAAAAGGCTAGTCAGTTAGCCCATTGTGATAAATACATCTGGAATTCAGAATGATGACTTCCAGGGGGCACCACGCGAAGGTCGACTTGATAAGGTAAATTTCTAGCAATGGGAGTGGTTGTCCGTAATACTAACAATCCCTTCCATCTCCCCTTTATAATATGTATTATATATAAATATATTATATATAAGCGGTCCCGGCATAGAATAAGCCACCCCTTCCTTTTCCGTGGGTGTCGTAGTCTACAAAGGTAGGGCGAGGGATAGGCAGCAGCGTCCCTCTTAAAACATCTGTAAAAATCTAGCCTGCAGTTGCCAACGCACTTGCCAAGCGTGGCAACTACAGGCAAAACTCCCGTTATGGGAGGGAAGGATTATGTCCATCAGTGGACAATCTAGGCTTAAATAATAATCATAAATAATATAAATGTGTAAGTAAACTTTTGTTGCTTAACTTTTTTGGCTTTGGTAGGACATGCCCTATTATATTTGTTAATACCGGGAACTAGTAACCCTATTGCTACGGTAGCAACATCCCCTGTCCAATCAACCACCACGCAGTTCATTTTGGAAACGATTGCAGTTATTTTCTGGTGAATTCGACACGATGTGCCAACCTGACTTCATCGGGGAGAAAGGGATTGTTAGTAATGGAGACTGAGAATCCTATTGCTAGCAATATACCCAACCAGGTCGACCTCCTCGCGGTTCTCCCTGGAAACTATCATGGTTAATTCCCGATGAATTCATCATGAAGGGCTAACTGGCCTGTTTTCATTCTCATCTATCACCCTTCACTGGTGCTCCGCCAGCGTATCCCGTTAGCGCAGGCGGGGTTACCACACCATTTTCACCCATAAAAAAAAACCTGACTTCATCTTCACCTATCATTCTCATATTCATCAGAGGAAGTCACTAAAATCAGACGAGATTCCAGTACCCCTTTTATCAATTAATAAAACAGTAAAGAAACAGATGGAATGACTAACTCCAGCCTTCAGAAGATCTAACTTCCGTTGTTCTTTTTCTGCCTTCTTAGCTTCAATCGCTTCTATTTTAGCTTGTCGTTTCAGACGTAACATCTCTGATATACGTCTAACTCGTTTTTCTTTAGCGTCCTCCTAAAATTAAAAAAAAAAAACTACAATTCGACAAAGGATTATAATTCATCGTATCACATTAGGATCCCATATAATTTTAGCGTCCCTGTATAACAGAAATTTGTTTCATCTATTCTTATATAGCTCGGAATGGCAAAGCACATTGACAGGCCACCGGATGGAAAGTTGTTACCGTCATCCTTAAACACTTACATCACAGAATTCTTTATAATGCCTATGGCACCCATTAATTGGCATTCCTGAAGACTAAGGTATTATGTCTCCGTGCCCTAGAACATTACAGCCATAATTCTTCAAATAGAAACACAGGCATGCCACAGATGTTTCAGGACAGAAACATAGAGTGGTACAGAAGTAGCTACTCCAACCGAAGACTTCTGTACATAATTTCTTAAATGCATTATGATTGTGAGAATTTTCAAAGATGTTTAGCTATCTGTTAATCATAGCTGAACGACTTTATATGAAATATGGTACACAGAGCAACCATTCTTCATTTAATATATATATATATATATATATATATATATATATATATATATATATATATATATATATATATATATATATATATATATATATATATATATATAATTACTTTTATCGTGAATCAGTTACAGGGACAAACCCATGGAGTTCTATTCCTTCTTTCTTTCCTTCTATCTTTACGTCAAATCCCTTGTAGTAATAGGCAAAGAGAACCAAGTGCCAAACGCCTTTATCCTTACATACATCTCTTGCTTTCTGCTCTTCTATCTCGTTTCACGCAAACACCTGTTCCAAAGACTTTATTTCTCCCTCACATAGAACACAGTTTCTCTAATTTTAATAAACTAGGTCTCCATCAGTATCTACATCTACCACAGGGAGACTTTGTACAAAAGTCGATTGCTTGGGTATCTCTGTCCCATTCGTGTTTCTACCGTGAAGCAGTTGTGTTTGCATGTCAGTGTTTCGGTTTGAAGAGTGGGACATGGCGTGAATTTACTGGGTACAGAGAAATAACAACTGAGTCCTCAGGAATGGTAACGCATGAGGGGTATCATGGTTAGCTTGTTTGTCATTCTAAGTTGTATATAAAAAAAAAAACAACATTTATCCACTTTCTTATAAAGATGCATTCCAAGTACCTTTTGTTTTAATCTCTCTTCACGCCTTTTCTGCCATATCTCTTCTCTTGTAAGACTTAAGGACTTGTAAAGATCGAATGCAGTGCCACTTCTAGATTGTTTATCGTTTTCCAAATCAATAATGTCTTCATAAAGTATTTTTCGTACCATAGCTACAAACCATATGCTATGCATTATATACACTCATATATACATATAAACTTTTTTTTTTTTAATTAATAGATGTTAATAGAATGGTAACCCGGCCTGCGCTAACGGTATACGCCGTCGGGGCACCAGTGAGGGATGAAACGTGGGAATGAAAAGGCTGGTTATTTAGCCTATCGCGATTTCATCGTTTCCAGGGGGGACCACGTGGAGGTCGACCTGGTAGAGTATATTGTTGGCAATGGAAAGATAGTTCGTATTACTAACAATCCCCTCCCCCCTAAACATACATAGTTTATAAATCATTTTATTCAAGCAATCAATATTATTTATATAGGTGTATAAAAAATATAGTATTCAAATATTTTTTTTTAATTTATTTATGCTTTATTGACCACATTACAAAAAAAATGTCTGGTACAAAAGGCGGACTTAATACTATAAAGCATTCTCTCCCAGTCTATATATCCAGTTTTTCTTATAGTTTAGACTTAGACTATTTCGAAAGTGAAAAAAGTGTTGTCCTCCTCTCTCCTACTATGGACCCTGTTGGGCACAGCAAGTGCCCAACAGGGTCCCAGCAGGTGCCCATAGTAGGAGAAATAGTACAGTGGTCCATAATTGAAATGTTATGTACTAACTATATTATGAAATGCAACAAGAAATAAATAAAAATAGTTCTACCATGCAATCAAAATACAATTTTAGCTAAGAAAGGAAAGGGAGAAACTGAACTATTATATTTTTCATATAATAGTAAAATTTTCCAAATTATGTATTAGAACAAAGACAAACTACCAAGTAAGTAGCAGAAGATCATAAAAATTAAGATATTATAATAAACATATATGTACAATTACATAGAACAAAGTAAAAAAATAAATCATTTACAATGACAAGAACAGACCAGTTGTATTATGTAAATAAAATAAATAAATACCGGTACATATTACTAGTGTAAGTACTTATGTATAACCCAATAAGATACCCTTAAAACTTATCTATCTTTGGATTATCCATAGGGAATCGAAAAGGTCTGAATAGCATAGTTTTTAAGACGTGCGTCTTGAAAAACGTTGCCTACTTCACAAGGTTCTATATTGTAAGATAACTGTTTATTAAAATACAAATATATAATAATAAATTTACGTTATTTCTTATTTGTTCTTCCATGATTAAGTCTTCATTCATTGTATTTTTTTATACAACTTAGAATGGCTAACAAGCTGACGGCCCACCTGATGGAAAGTAGTAACCGTCACTTATAAATATGAGCAGTACAATGGACGTAACAAAGTATACTATTACGCCCACGATACCCCCCATGCGTTGCCATTCCTGAGGACTCAGGTGTTATTCCTCTGTACTTTGTAAATTCACGCCATATCCCACCCTTCAAACCGAAACACAGCCATGCAAACACAACTGCTTCACAGTAGAAACATGAATGGGACAGAGGTACCCAAGCAATCGACTTTTTTAAAAATATACCTATAGATAATCTGGTTAACGATTATTTGTTACATAATGTTTGTAATGTTTAGTTTTTTTTTTATGATATCATAAGAATATATTTTAAATATTTAATTTTAATTACTAAAGCCGACTTCCAAAAGATAGGAGTACACAAGTCGCAAAATTTTGGGGAAATGAAGTTCTTGGAAAATTTTATGGGGAAAAGGAATTGCTTAAAGTATTTTGGATACTTTTTGAACAATTTTGATACTTGTAAACATTATAGCGGTATATAAATACAATAAAATATGGGATTACAGATACTAAAATAGAGGATAGGATAAGAAAGGAGACGGTGAGAGAAACTCAAAGTAACGAAGGTCGGTTTTATTTATTTATTTTTCTTTCCTTCGTCCACTTTGGCAAATCTTAGTGAAAATCAATACAAATTTATTTATGGTAAAAGTATAAAAAATCATATTGATTTGGAGAAAAAAAATATTTAGTATTTGGGTAAAAAATTAATGATTGCATCTTAAAAGAACTTTCATCATCTTATCTCAACCATCATGTGTCCACTGCTGAATATAGGCGTACCCCATAGCCTGTCATAAGAAACGGTCCTGAGCCACCTGTATCCACTGACTCCCTGCAATGCATTTAATACCGCCACTCCATCTAGCGGGAGATCGTTCTACACGACATTTGTATAGGGTCGCCACTCATGAACCTTTCTTTCCCATCGGTTGTCAGTTAAAAGAACTATACATAAAGTATTCTGTATTGCCCGTAGTTCATGTCTAGTAGACAGTTACCACTTTTCACGAATGAACTTGTTTGTCACCTCATCACCATCATCATCATAAAAGAAACTAAAATTTACTAACAAACAAAATGTCGATCAGTATCAAGCATTTGGAAGCATATAGCGAGAGCTGGACCGGACAAAAGTTGGTGTATTGACGCCTCATTGATTGGAGCGTCGCCTGCATATAACACATCCATAGCTGTTTCCTTCGTTAATTCCACTTCCTCGCGGCCAACCATTATAATATCTGGTTTAAAATTATCGATTTATGTATTGCTCTTAATATAGTTTTAATTATATTTTATATTATCTTACTAGATTTTACCCGTAACTTCACGTACCGATATATGTTTACTGACCTGAATAAAAAGCAGACTACATGACTTTCCATTCCATATACTATGTGGATTATAGTCAAGATTATTTAAAAAAAAATTTTTCAGTTAAGCCGTTAAAGTACTAGAAGGTAACAAACATACAGCAACGCAATTGCCGAGAAATGAATTTACTAAGCAAATTGTTAATAACTTAGCTGGCATCGTTATTTTTTCTAATAATACAGCTTTCTATATCTTTTATTTTCTGTCAATGTGTGTGTTTATTTGTTACAAACAAACATACAAATTATGAAATTTCTGCTCCTGACAATATTAGCATAGATAAATAATAGTAATAGTCGAGTGGGGGACTGCAGTGTCCCTCTTAAAAGATCACCAAAAACTAATTGTCGTTGCCAACCCGCCTACCAAGCAAGGCAACAACTGAGCAAAACCTCCCAAGAGGGAGACCTGTGTTCTGTAATATACAGTCAACGGCTGTATCATCATCATCATCGTTGATCAATACAATTTATGCCACGATTAAAAATAGTTGCCTTTTCTCTACATCATCATAAAAAGTACAACTTAACTGTTTTCATCCCATTTCTCATACAACTCAGGGTGCGCTCGCGTCGCATGCGGCCAAAACAGTACAAAGTTCAAATGTTTCAAATGTGGCACCATGAGCTCTGCTCGGTGCCGTTTCCGAGCAGCTTGCCGAGCCGCTTGTCGAAGCGACAAAGATAATTCCTCTTGTTCTTTCTCTTCTCTTCTTATTTTGAGCCATTCCTGTGTATATTATTAACAAATTGTAAAAAATAAACGCATCACACACACACACACACACCATTCTATTGTATGCATACCTACATGTATGTGTGTGGGGGAAAAGGATTGTTAGTAATGGGGTCAAATAGCCCCATTACTAGCAATATACCCTATCAGGTTAACCTCCACGTGGTTCCCCCTGGAAACCATCGTGAACAATTCTCGTTGAATTCGTTACGATGGGCTAACTGACCTGTTTCATCCTCGTCTATCATCCTTCACTGGTGCCCTATCAGCGTATACCGATAGCGCGGGTGGAGATACTATTTCATTATCACCTATAAAAAAAGTGTTATATAGATACCGATCCGATATATATATATTGAGTTCCACAATATATAGATATCGGGCAGTTATTCTAGACACTGATTGCGGATATAAAACCATCACACATTTCGATATCGCCCATACCAGTCAGATTTTCGAATATGTTAAAAGTTTATTATCCAATTTTTTTTTTTATTTTAATAACAGGCATTTAACATATTCGTTATTGAGCCCATGTATAAATGTGATAACTAAAATATATACATATTGCTATATATTATCCACGCCTAGCAACCTGTAGTACGTCATTTCATTTCAGATCATTGTGTAAACAGTAATTTGTATTCCAATGTCATGGCAAGTAGAAAATAAGCAGAAACTTAGCATTCCAAACAAGCCTCTATGATTTTTGATATGCTTATTTGTTACTTTGGTTTTATAGCGAAAATAAATAAATAAAAGAGTAATCAGGTAATACGTGAAATTTACAATTCAGTTCTTCACGATTTTATAATACAAAGCACTTTTTTATATACAAAATTTTGATGTAAAAATAGCACTACTCTATTAATACACGAATCTTCATACATATATTGAAATATATATAAAAACAAACAGTTTATTTCCAAACTTCCATATTAATAACAACCATTTTTTTTATACAACTTAGAATGGCAAACAAGCTGACGGCCCACTTGATGGAAAGTGGTAACCGTCGCCTATAAACATGAGCAGTGCCATGGACATAATAGAGTATACTCTTTCGCCCATGATACCCCCCATGCGTTGCCATTCCTGAGGACTCAGGTGTTATTCCTCTGTACCCTGTAAATTCACGCCATATCCCACCCTTCAAACCGAAACACAGCCATGCAAACACAACTGCTTCACGGTTGAAACACGAATGGGACAGAAGTACCCAAGCAAATGACTAGTATTTAGGGATAACACCGCCCATTGTTGCCTCTTTGTTTTGCTTTTAGGTAATTTAAGTAAATAAGTATTCATTTCGTTTGTGTACATATTGCTAATCTTTATAATCTGTATCATTCTTTGAAGGTAAAGAGTTTTCATCCATACATTCATTCATACTAACAATAAGTATAGACATCTCAAATAACCATTTCATCAGGCGTTGGTTCGTCGAGCTCATAAAATGGACGATCAGTGCTAACGCCTTGGGACTCCAAATTAAAATAATATAATTCACTTTTAGCCACATCTGCAAACGTGAAGCTATCCATACCACGGAAAACCTTCGTAACTCTTTTTTTCTGGAAAACATATTGAAGTTTTCACGTCAAGAGAACAAACAGCAGATATTACAATTGAATTATAATAACATTTTATTAAACTCTGTGTTATTTTGAAGTCCATATACATAAGGGTTGACGTCAGGCAGACGGCCGATCGTAAGACTATAAGTCAAATCCTTTAGTAATATAGATAAAACCATATCACGCCAACCCTAAATAATAATTGGGATAAGAAAAGAAAGATAATAATCACTAGTTCATCTATTCAGCCTTTAACTGTCCACTAATGAACATAGGTCTCTCTATAAAGGGTTTTGCTAGTAATTGGTACGCTTGACAGGCAGGTTGGCAACTCCAGTAAGGCTTTGGTGATGTTTTAAGAGGTACCCATCTTTTGATCATTAAGTACTATGGGGACACCTTTTGAGACACCCACAGGAAAGAAAAGGGTAGCCCATTCTTTACTGAAAATATAAGACATAAAATAGACATGTGGCATACAAATATGTTGATAGTATTGCTTCAATCAGACCTTGCTCGACAAAAAACGAGATACCAAACGTGACCCATCTCATTCTATGTCATGCATTTGCTAGTATTAACGATTCTATCGATATAATCATTTTCCACTTGTTTAAAGAAACAGATTTTTGTTAACTTACAACTATGAACATATATACAGGCTCACTCTGATTACGAAATCTTCTCAACATCTCTATTTCATCTGAAAGTACCTTAAAAGTGAAAGAAGTTAAATTAAAATTAACACAAAATATAAAACTTTTTTTTATACGACTTAGAATGGCAAACAAGCTGACGGCCCACCTGATGGGAAGTGGTAACCATCGCCTATAAATATAAGCAGTACCATGGACATAACACAGTATACTGTTTCGCCCATAATACCCCCCATGCGTTGCCATTCCTGAGGACTCAGGTGTTACTCCTCTGTACCTAGTAAATTCACGCCATAAAAAATATCCTAAATCATATTATATATTAATTATATATTAATTATAATTAAATAATTCAGTCTAATTATATTAAATTATTGCCAAAACACCTCTACGTTGATGATTAATTCTACGAACGACGAATCTAAATAAAATCAATAGACACGATTCCCCTGGAAACCATCGTAGTTCATTTCTGTTGAATTCTTCACGGTGTGGCAGTTGACCAGCCTTTAAGTGAGGAACTTATCATCTCTCACTGGTGCCCCACCAGCGTATACCGATAGTCCAGGCGGGGTAATCATTCCATTCTCTTACATTACAAACAAAAACTAGAATAATTGGCTTTCATTTTTTTTAACTGTATCCCTCAGTTCAGATACATTAATTAATATATAAAGTATCCTATATGCCAAGGAAAGATATAGCCCACGTATAGATTCATTTGTACTATGTCTTGGGGGCTGAGTAGTTACTAAAGTAGGTACCTTGAGTAGTATCATCTTTCCATCACTCCAATCCAGTTTGATCCTTGTAAACAATCTGTCGAGGGCTGTACAAGATCCAAAGTAAGAGCAGTAAATTTCTGCACCTGGTAAATGTAAAAAATAGGTTATTAAACAAAATAAGATATCGTAATGGGTGAAAAGTGTAAAACTATAATAATACTAAGAATAATTTGTTTTAACTTTGTCCACGACTTCATATGCATTGGATATTAGAAAATCAAATTTTAAAATTCGACCTACAAGAACACAACTGTGAAAACAACATTCAGTTTGGTACAGTAATGTTTGCATTATGCCAAAATAAATATACACGTATACAGTTAAAAATAATCCATTTTTTTTTTTATTTTAAGGTACTATCGCTAACACTCATAGAAGCGTTTACCCATATTTGCCTTTAAAGCTAAATCAAAAATAAAAAAAATATTAAATAGCTACAACATGATTATCTTATTATCAGGTCCTTCCAAAGAGATTATATTTCAAATACAAGATGTGATATCTCTAATATGCATACGTAGGTATTGCATACCAGGTATTAGTTATCTGAATACTGGCAGACAGTACCGGCCTCAGGGTTTTTTTTTAATGGGTGATAATGAAAGCGTAACCCTTTTTGCAATATACGCTGGCAGGGAACCAGTGAGTTATGACGTGGCTAGCCCTGAGTAAGGCATGCTCGCTTAAATGTCCAGACAGGTGGTAGAGTGGTGGGCCGGAATATTAAGTTCCTTAAAATATGGTTGAGCGCAATGATAGCTGGCTAATCCGTCATACTCGTGAACGGGTGCTGCCTATCAGGACTGGCATTGGCTGACTATGTTAAATATTATGATCTGATCTGCTTAGGAGTTTATATTCATACAAATTCATTATTTATATGATTAAACTTTTTCAAAAAAGTAACACCTAAGTTTTTGCCCGTTCGTCTTGACTGTAGTTGCATTCCGAAAGGGCAGTAATGAAAAAACGACTATTCAAAAATGCTTAAATCTTAATTTACTTAAATAAAAATAATTCTTTCTTTCTTTCAGATGATAGGTGAGTATGACCAACAAATCAGTTAGCCTATTGTGATTAATTCTAAGAATTGACCGCGATGTTTTCCAAGGAGAATCACACGGAGATCGACCTAGCAGAATATATTACTAGTAATAGGGCTGATATTACTAATATCTGCTGGCGATATCTATAGGTGAGGGCGGTCGGATGGACCATACTCACCTCGGAATTATCCGGTGCCTACTCCTGAGTATGACATGGAACTTTCAATGACAGACAAAAACACGTCTGAGAATATATATTGTGTATTCTCAAACGTGTTTAAGCCCGTCGGGTAGCTTCGCCCATTAAAAAAGTTAATGGACCAAGCCACTCGACGGCCTTGTCTTGAAGCCCATGCGGTGCTAACATCACTTGCTCTTTGGACACATAGCTCAGCGATTCACAATGAGAGTGAAGTCAGCGCACCGTTGCCAACTTGTGGCTTCTGTTTGCTCCAGTGCAGGCTGTAAAAGGGGGGAGGGGAGCAATCAATGAATGCCTACGTTTATTGGTTATTTAATTAAATTATTGTTTTTTAATTAACCTAAGTTTAACCTAGATGTTCTTCGTTTCGATTTGGGTCCTCAGCGTGGAAAATAAAACTATCTAAAGCTCACCAGGGGGTAATAAGAAGAGGGAGGCGGTGCACAGCATATACCCTAGGGGGAAGGGATTGTTTGTAATGGGGAGGATGGAGAAATGGAGGAAATTACTCCCCATTGCTATTAATATATACTCTATCAAGTTGACCTCCACGCGGTTCCCTCTGGAAACCATCGTGACTGATTTATCGTTGAATATCTACATCACGATGGGCTAATAGACCTGCCTTTTTATTGGAGTTCGCATCCGTGACGGGGTGGAGTGCAAACGGTCCCCGGGAATTTCATTCTGAGATTTGAATACTTCATATCACAGAATGAAATTGCAAATCGTCAGTTTATTTAACCGGTAGGAGCCCGGCAGTACCCACACAGTCCTTTAAGCCTGGGGTCTGCATGATGCAATTTTTTGGCGTAAAAAAATAAATAAATGCCAGATACACTAAAGCCGGCCCTGCTTACAAATTCACCGCACTGCATACTGTGAAAATACTCAAATGACGATAATAATAGTCCAGTCATTAATAACATGTAAACATTTCTAAATATGTACTTTGTACTTTGAACTCTGTGAAAGTGTTACAAATATTTGTTTTACTAGCAACTAGTTAATCGTTTTTAAAGATTTATCATTTATCAAAAACATGTTAGACTCTTTTGTCTTAACAAGTCCTAGTTTATTCAAAGTTTGTGAGGATGGGTAGATATTTGTTAATCTTTCACTACCAACTAACTGCAGAACGGAATTAAATAAAATTTTAATAAACTTTAACACATAGTATACCTTATATGCTGATAGACACGAGAAAAGCCGTGAGAAACAGCTAGATATTTGGGAGACTTTGTACAAAAGTAGTTTTTTTTTTTATACCACTAAGGTGGCAAACAAGCATACAGCCCACCTGATGGTAAGTGGTTACCGTAGCCTATGAGTTTGCTTGGGTACCTCTGTACCATTCATGTTTCAACCGTTAAACAGGCGTGTTTGCATGGCTGTGTTTCAGTTTGAAGGGTGGGATATGGCAGTTAATTTACAGAATACAGAGGAATAACACCTTAGTCCTCAGGAATCCCAACTCATGGTGGGTATCATGAGCGAAACAGTATATTTTGTTATGTCCATGGTACTGCTCATGTCTATAGGCGACGGTTACCATTTTCCATCAGGTGGGCCGTCAACTTGTTTGCCATTCTAAGTTGCATAAAAAAAGATATGCAACTGTAATAATGTACGAGCCACCTTAGGGAAAATCATAATCGTCGCCTATAGACGAAAACAGTACCATGGACATAACAGAGTATACTGTGTCGCCCATGATACACTTCAGGCATTGCCATTCCTGTGGACTAAGATGTTACACCTCTGTACCTAGTATGAAAATATCTCTGTAATATTTTTACCATAACAATTCCCATAAAAAAATCATAATCAACATTGCATATTTAATGAATAAATATAAATCTTAGGAGTATATAAACAAATAAATTGGCCCCTCGTGGCGTATTTATCAAGAATTAACTACGAGTATTGCTAGAGTGGATCGCGTGGAGGTCGATCTGACATTGTTATTTTTGTTTATTCCGCATATCACGCAGAAACTGCTGCACTAATTTGGATGCGGTTTTATTCCTGACAGTTGTGTTCCTGAAGATCTAACTAAAAACTGGTGTACGCTTCATCTTGAAACACTATCTAGAAGTGGTCAGTTTAATTGATTTTCTCACTTCTGGAATCCACGCGTATATATAAAGCAACGAGCAAAAAGTAAATATTTTAAAAATAAAAATTTTGTACAGTTCTTAATACAAAATTTTAAATTTTAAAGTTTCGTATTCAGCAATTCGAGAAGTAAATCAGTTTGTGATTTTAATTTTTACTGGAGAGAAACCCCGCGGCTTGCAAATGCCGGTCTTGCGGGAATTTCTAAAAATCTTTTCGTAACGAACATCGTCGTTAACGCTGTAGGCGGTTTCTTATTTTTTTTTTTTTTTTATATATATATATATTTTATGAGTTCTTTTTTTAATGGATGATAACAGAATGATACCCCGCCTGCGCTAACGGTATACGCTGCCGGAGTACCAGTGAGTGATGGTAGGTGAGGATGAAAAGCAGATCAGTTACTCCATCGTGGTGGATACACTTGGAATTCAGGGGTAACCACGTAGAGGTCGACCTGACCTAGCCACCAGTCCTTTTGCTAGCAATAGGACTGGTTGTTCGTATTAATAACAATCCATTCCCCTCTGGCTATGAGACCAAAAGCATACAGACAAAATGTATCCATCAAAAAAGAAGTATGGGAAATATTGGATACAATAATTTTCAACTTTTATGATTGTGCCTCAATCACCACACTAACACAACACATAATATTTACACCAAAAGATCAAATTTTGCCTAAGATAGTAATTTAGCTTACCAGAGGGAGATTTTGTACAAAAGTCGATTGCTTGGGTACCTCTGTCCCATTCGTGTTTCAACCGTGAAGCAGTTGTGTTTGCATGGCTGTGTTTCGGTTTGAAGGGTGGGATATGGCGTGAATTTACTGGGTACAGAGGAATAACACCTGAGTCCTCAGGAGTGGCAGCGCATGGGAGGTATCATGAGTGAAACAGTGTACTCTGTTGTGTCCATGGTACTGCTCATGTCTATAGGTCACGGTTACCACTTTCCATCAGGTGAGCCGTCAGCTTGTTTGCCATTCTAAGTTGTATAAAACAAAAACAATTTAGCTTATTATCCAAATATTTTTAATAAATGAAAATAGAAAGATAACCCCACCTATACTATTGGTTTACGCCTGCAGAGTACCAATGAAAGATGACAGACGAGATATAGTCGAGAGAATATAGTCAAGATAGTTAGCCTTTCGCAATGAATTCTCCAGGAATTAACCACGATGATTAGAGGGGAAAGAGATTGTCAGTAATGGAGACTGAAAATCCCATTGCTAGCATTATACCCAACCAGGTCGACCTCCTCGCGGTTCTCACTGGAAACTATCATGGTTAATTCCTGATGAATTCATCATGATGGGCTAACTGGCCTGTTTTCATTCTTATCGAACACCCTTCACTGGTGCTCCGCCAGCGTATCCCGTTAGCGCAGGCAGGGTTACCATACCATTTACACCCATAAAAAAAATTAAGAAAAAACCACGTTGATTTTCAGAGACACCATATCGAGGTCAACCTGACAATATATTACTAGCAATGGCGTCGCTATTCATTACAATCAAACAATACTCTTCCTTAAATCGAGATACTTAGGTATATTTTCTAATTAATTCTTAATTAATCAACTAATTATATGAATATTTTATTGTTATGTTAAATGCTTTAATCCGCGACGTTATACACGTGTATTTTAAAAATTGTACCTCCTTCAAGGTCAAGTTTTTAAACATCCTTTTTTATTGTTCACCTACGCTTTATAAAGAACTGCAAAGTTTCAATAATTCTAGATTCAGCATTTATATATGTGTCAGTCAATCACTCGGCATACTCTTTATTTATTTATTTATTGGAAAACCAACAGCTTACAATTTATAGCTTTTGTATATATAGATTAATCGTGAATTCACTAGCTCTCTACAATATATAAATTTACTAACAAATAAGATGGTCCTCGTATAAATTAAGTACATCAGTCAGCTCGTTTTCATTGTGAATTTCCATGAACAGTTCCACTTTCCTTCGCGCCATTTTGATGGAGACAAATTGTATACGATGACATAATTTATATTCAACTTGGTCATGCTTCCGAGTAATGCTGTTAGTTACCTAACTAAACAATGTTTGTCTCTCATTGTTTGTATTCAAGCTATAAAACAAACATACAAATAGACATAAAAACTAAGAGTTTTTGCTTTTGCTCCTACTTTTCTTATTAAGGTCCCTTATACCATTATTTTATTGGTATTTCTTAAAAAAAATTAAGGAAATACCAATAAAATAATGGTGGATAAAATTTGGCAATATTTATATGTTTTAGTTACAATATCTATATTCTGGTCCAATAACAAATATATTAAAAATAATTTATATCTGTTAAAAGTCCGTTATCCAATATATTTTTTTAGATAACAGACTTTTAACAGATATAAATATTAAATAGATATCTGACGGATACAGGCAATATCGATATGGGTGATGACCTTTTTCCGCCATCAATATCCAGAGAAACCCAATATATAGATATTGGATCAATATCCGTTTTACCCATACCTATAAAGAGACGAGATATGATCTTTTTTTTTTTTGTAATGTATAAACTTTAAACTTTCCTAGTTACGAGCGTTCATAACGAAGTGTGGAAGTGTCGCAATTATTTGTTAATTATCGAAAAAAATGAATAATTTTTAATATTTCCGACTGATTATTTAAAAAGTTCTCTGCCTACGAACTAAAACTTTTATCATACAATAGTATTGATATTAAGCTATCATTGAAAATTTTTATTTTAATTATCAATAATGAATTAGAAAAATTTCGATGCAAAATATGAGATAAGTGCAAAGATTTTAATGGTAGATTTATATGCAACGTATTCTATGACAAAAGTTTTAGTTCGCTAAAAGGACAGCTTTTAAATAATCAGAACTATCGAAAATTCTCTAATTGTTACCATATTGTATTACAAACGCTCTTAACTGATTTAAATTTTTTTTTCACGTGTAGTAATTTACAATTTGAGCAAATGACATGGACTATCTTTTATTTAAAAAACTAATTAATTACTTAACCGGTAATTAGTCTTTAATATTGCCTACGTAAAGTCATCGTATATATCGTCACAATTTTATTATATGTAGGGTAATTATATAGTTTTATCGAATTAACTATATCTTAATAATTTTAAATAACAATATGGTAGACACCTAGCTCAGCTGCCTGTTGACTAATGCAATTTTTACAATATTTTTTTTTATTTATTTTTTTTGTACAACTTAGAATGGCAAACAAGCTAACGGCCCACCAGATGGAAAGTGGTAACTGTTGCCTAAAGACATGAGCAGTATCATGAACATAACAGAGTATACTGTTTCGCCCATGATACCCCTCATGCGTTGCCATTCCTGAGGACTCTGGTGTTATTCCTCTGTACCCTGTAAATTCACGCCTGTAAATATGCGAAAGTCTAAAATACTTACCCAATAAATAATATATTGTCAACATAATATGTATAAAAATTGTGTAAATAAAAGTGACCAAATATTATATAAATTAATATTGTATTAATTAAACATACAGTAAATGGTCGAGATTTTTTTAAAAAAATCAAGATGTTTTTTGTCTAAGTATTACGGGAAGGAAAACACTATTACCTAAATGTGATTCGTCTAAGTCCACCATGAATGCTATTGTTACATAAATTAAATATAGTACCTGCGCTTGCAATATGCGCTGTTATTTGTTGTATCATAAAATTTTGTGTTAATATGTCAAAAAATAACATTTTAAACACACAACAAAAATTTTGGATAATAAATAAATTCAATGTAAACTCGCTTGCGCAATCCATATACGCTAGTGAAAATAAATTGTATTTCATATGTTACACATATGCTTATAAAATCGGGGTCATAAATGTAGTGTAAGGTACTTGCGATATTCTAAGGTTTGGATACTAAATAAAATGCCTCATTTATTATTATGAAAATATTCCTATTCATAAATCGATTTTAAATCGAATGAATAAAAATAATACAGTATGGCAACACCACTGCAAACTGCCATCCGCCATATTGAAAGTTTTAGTGATTCGGAAAATTATCCCCTGCGATGGAGTCATATTTTTGCTTATCAAATTTTGAAGATATTTATGTTGAGAATTCGTTAAAATTATGTCAATTGTCCATAGTTTCTCAATTCGGTCGCGGTCATTGCAGAAAAGCGTCGATCGTTTGACAAAATTCGCTTGAGATTATTATTTGTGTGCTTGCCGTCGACCCTGGAGACATCTTGTGATTAAAAAGCACCGTTGCGACAAGATTGTTCACTGTCTGGTTTTGTCATTGTGCGAAACGGTAACAAAATTAGTATTGGTGCTAAGTACGACCCACAATCATGGATGTGTCGTGGGGTAAGTGTTTGTTATTGCGTATAAAATATTGATTGTTACTTTGGTGTCATTGTGATGTCATTTTATGGTATTTTTCAGACGCAGACAATTTTGAGCCTAAGCTCCCGACCACGTTGACATCATCGAATAAATGGGAAGGCGAAGACGAGGAAGACAACGTCAAGGTAACAACACAGTCTGCCAAATATTTAGAACCGTGTTATTTATATGTTATTTTCATTCATTCCTATATTTTTTCTTGAATTTTCTTTGGACACATAACCTCAAAATGCTTACGTGTTGACGTCACTCTTCTTTTTTCAGGAAAGTTGGGAGGATGAGGAGGAAGAAAAAAAAGATGAGGAGAAAAAAGAACTTCCCCCTGCCCCGCCAAAATCGAAAAAGAAAATACAGGATAAAATAGCGGAAAGAGAGGTATGTGTTTAAAATACCACACATATTGTATCTATTTTATAATTAATACTAAGCTATGAAACTTTCTAAATCATAATAATTCAAGGCCAATAAATTATAAAGAGAATTATAGCCAGTTGTAGAGTAAAAACAAATTACTGGTTGACTTTTTTTTCATGTAGTAACATTTAACAAAGGGTAACAAATCAAATTTATAAATATTTACTATATTATTATTACTTTTGTTGGATATACACATTATCTTTTTTAAAATTTAGCATTTTATTTTCCATTATTGGACAATTTGATTATTCTACTGATTACTTAACTTGAATATTAAATATTCTAACCATAAGTTTACCCACTGACCCTCTTAGATTCCTCCCATAAATAATTATAATTTAATTTTATTTGATGACCCAAATTCATTATTAGCTAATAACAATAATGATTACTTAATGTTGCCATAAAATTTAAATATTCACTGCATACCTACATACTTACATAATATTTAGATCATATGAATATGTAATATCTTGATAGTAACTGGCTGTTTAATGATAAACGAGTGTCAGAATAAATATATATATATATATATATATATATATATATTATTGCACTTGTAAATTATATCAATTACTATCATTACTATCTTTTCAAATTTAGAAAAATTTAAATATCACTCATAAAAAAAACATGGAAGCACAAAACAAAATATTTATTTATTAAATATACTAGCTTTTACCCATTACTCTGTACCTGTGACCATGATATAATGATTGATGATAATAAATCATAGCCTATGTCCTTCTCCATCCCATATTGTAATGTTATATAAATAGGACTCCATTTTCCGCGCTTAGCCTCTCATTTGGGCCCTTATGCATATGAGTCGTGGCTAGTACAGCCAACCTAGCTCCGCTCAGAAGCGCAGAAGCTTCCTGGGTTCTTCATAGGCCTCACGGAGCGACCTCACTGTTCCGAGGATTTCTAAATGTTGATGGGCCACAGCCTCACATTCCAGGATTATGTGAGCAGCCGTTTCTTCGTCGTCGAAACAACCTCGACATAGACCTCTATGTTGAGGCCGTCTGTGAGATGTCTGTGGCTCCTATTGTGTATAAATGTTTGTTTAATGGCCAATGGCCTGTTATTGTCCCTATCATTATTTTGAGGTTTTTCAATCTCATATTGTAAGTTTATATCAAATTTCATGATGATTATTTAATTCTCTATGAGGTAACAAACACATAATCATATTTATAATATTAGTAAAGATGCTAGTTCTATTTATGTGAGAGTGTGACACCCTCTAACATAGGGGTGTGGGGGGGTTGTTAATAAAGAGCATTGCAAGCAGTATACCTTGTTAAGTCCACCTTCATGTGCTCCCTCCTGGAATCTATAGTGGTTGAGTCCAAGTAAATTTGTCACAGTAGAAAATATACATGAATAAATAGAATCCTCTCTGAATAATGGCTTAATAAGTTAAAACCTTCAGGAATAAAATTGTGAAAATCATATTTAATTTGGTGCAGTAGTTTTTACATAATATCAGAATAAACAGACAGACAGATAATATTTCTAAAAATTGTTATATTGGTTTTATTAAACCCCTTCATATAATTTTTTTTCTCAAATACAGTGTAAACTCCAATAGCAAATAACAATAATAATATAAATAATAGCAAACTTCTATTTAACGAAAAACTCTTTAAAATGTACTCATTACTAAGGTTTGTTTGTTTTACATTGTTACCTTTGTATTGAAACACTATAGTGTTGCAACCACTCTCAATTTACTTATATAAAAAAAAAATTAAAAGAACCGAATATTTTTGAAGATGATTGCATAAGAATAAAATACAAGGAAAGATACAATTATAATACTGGCATAGTAAAAAATGACAAACAAATATAACTAATTATAACTTTGTTACGTCTGTACTTATTCAAAACATACTTTGTTAAATAAATGTATTTTTATCTTTAATTTTTTTTCTCACTTAATTTTCTCAAAATTAAAAGGTAAAATAATATTGTTTTTTCACTCTCTGTTTAATGAAAAATCTGTGTGTTATAAAAACATTAAAATACTTGGTCCCTACGATTTCACTACTAGACTTTTCACTGTATTTGTCATATACATTTGTAATGTACATTTTAATAAAATTGTAAGTAGACTACTTACAATTTTATTAAATATTAGTAAGATTAAGAAGAAAATTTTTATGTCTTCAGCGGCTGGAACGCGAGAAACTAGAAAGGCTTAATGCAGAGAAACCTGAGGAACTGACACCAGAACAGAAGCTCGCTGAAAAGCTACGCCAACAGAAATTACAAGAGGAATCTGATCTCCGACTTGCCATGGAGACATTTGGTAAGTCTATTATAATAATTTCTTTTTAGTTTAAATGGTGGACTAGTCCAAATTCCATTTTTTTTTATTATTTTAAATAATTACAAGAAAACTATAAAAAAAATTAGCTAAATCAGTTCAGCTGATAATGTGATGATTCTCGTGTAACATGCTTCATCATAATTTTAAGCCTTTAACTGTCCACTGCTGAACACAAGCCTCTCCCTTGGGATCTTTTGCCAATAGTTGCCACTCTTGGCTGGTAGATTGTCAACCGCAGTTAAGCTTTGGAGGTGTTTTAAGAGAGACACTGCTGACCATCCTTTGCCTTTCCTTAATCATCTCTTATGACATCCACAGGAAAGGAAAGGGTGGCCTACTCTATGCCATGACCACATGACATGTGATATGCATGCATAGCAATGAATAATATCTAACTTTTAATCTATAAAAATGCAAAAGTTATGATAACAAAGGTACTGATGGATGTTTGTTACTATCTCATACAAAAACTACTGAAAAAATTTAAATGTGATTTCATATTGGATATTATAATTTGATATTGGGATAGGTTGTATTCTAATATACAGAATAGTTTATATACTGATTAGAGCAGGCAAAGTAGCAGTATTCAACTAGTATACTGCATATTACTAGCTATATACTGTATATTTAATTAGGTTAATTTTACATTACACTTTTATTTATTTCTTTATATGTACATTCTTTTTTAATATATTGTAGATAATTAGGTTATAACAAATATATACACATGCTGACTTATCCCTTGAAGGTATTTATTGCAGTTTACCATAAGAACCTGTTAATGGTAGCTCTCATTAGCTTGCTTTACAGTTTGCTCGTAAGTTTTAGGCTAATTTGTACATGCACTTTCCTAATTATATTTTCATATTACATTCTGATCCAAAGAAACATATTATAAAAAAATTATAATATTTAGAACACTCCATTTTAATATCTAATATATGTGTATATGTCTAGCCTAAATTTAACAATTAAATTTGTTCATAAATTATGTTAAATAACAGGAAATGTGGGAGAGGTTTCATTGATGAAAGAATGCGAGTAACAAACATCTAAAGTAAATTATAATAAGCTGCTATGCTATTTGGAATGAAAAGTACATAGGCAACTTTTCACTTTAATCAATCAAACATAGCAATAAACAAATATCAACAAAACATAATCTCGATACCGAAGTGGCGGATTAAAACTATACTATATTAAATATTAATAATAATTAGTTAAATTTAATTTGATGAGTGTTACTACTATTAGAGATAAATTTAATAAGATAGAGTAAACTTTTACCCTTGGGGACCATACACTAAGAACACATAAACTTGTTAAAATTTTAAAACATGTAAAGCATTGGAAAATAAGGCTATAACAATAATATTTACAGGTGTGACAGATGGTAGTGGTGGAAAAATAGATAGCTTCAATCCAACTACAAAAGCAGAATTCACAGAGTTTGCTGAGTTGCTCAGCAAGAAAATAAATTTCTACAAAAGCAAAGATGAGTTCCCCGGATTTGCTGAAGAGCTGTTCAGGAATATAATTGTTCAAAGTAAGTGCTGTATATCTATAAAAAGCTCATAGTATTGTAGAAACAATTGAAATGATAACACTGTTTTTTTTTTAATGTGTGATAATGGAATGGTAACCCCACTAGCGCTATCGGTATACACCGGCGGGGCACCAGTGAGGGATAATAGGTGAGGATGAAACAAATCAGGTTAGCCCATTGTGACAAATTCACCAAGAATTGTTAACGATGATTTCCAGGGGGGACCACGTGGAGGTCGACCTAATATTGCTAACAATGGGGCTGTCAAACTCCATTGCTAACAGTCTCTTTTCCCCCCTGAATTACATGCTGGTAATTCAGCATTCAGCTTGGCATTAGAATACCGTGAGGAATTAGATGATAATTAAGTTACAATATTTAGCCCACCATGATGAATTTACCAGGAATTAGCCACAATTGTTTCCAGCATCTCTCTGAACCGTATAGAAATTGGTCTTATCCACGTTACTAGCAAATTGCCCAACCTAAAACATACTGTTTTGCTTATAATTGCAAAGCACATATTGTTATCTGAGTAATGAACCATATAGTTAGCTCTAGAAATTGATTATGCAGGGAATACGAAATAGAAACACCAGTCCCCTGGATCAATGCATAATTAAATGTTTATCTTAATTCACCTAAATTGGATCACTGCATACAATTTTTAAATTAAATTTTTAATATAAACTACTTTCCCTCCCTGATATCATATGAGTATATTAATGAAATAAATGAAACCAACTCTTCCCTTTCAAAAAGAAAGAAGTAATTTGTTTAGTTCTTAATCCTACACTAAATTACAATTTTTTTTTTATACAACTTACAATGGCAAACAAGCTGACAGCCTACCTGATGGAAAGTGGTAACTGTTGCCTATAGTCATGAACTATGGACGAAAGTACTATGGACATAACAAACTAAGCTGTTTCATCCATCAAACTCCCCCATGCGTTTCCATGATTGAGGACTTAGGTGTTGTTCCTCTGTACCCTGTAAATTCACTGCCATATCCCACCCTTCAAACCGAAACACAGCCATGCAAACACAACTGCTTCACGGTAGAAACACGAATGGTACAGAGGTGCCTAAGCAAATGACTTTTGTACAAAGTCTCCCTCTTGTATTTTAACAATAATTAAAAAAAAAAAAGGAATAGCCCTAAAATTGTTTTACTTAGCTATATGACATACCCTATATGGTATATAATCTTAATTAGAAATTACTCGCTTTTTATATGGTAATTTTTTAACACAAATCACTGTTACTTAAAATTTTTCATACATTTTCCTACATATCGACCTTGTCTTGAGACTTGCAAAGACAACAAAAAAAGAATTAGCCAAATAGTTTCAGCTGTTCTAAACGTGATGCTCTTAAAACTGTTTGATATTGGATATTTATTTGTTTATATTTACAGTGCCCTCGGCTGACATTAAAAGGATAAAGCTTTGCGTAGACAACCTTTACATTGAAAAACAAAAAGCCGAGAAGAATGAGAAGTCGAAGAAGCCAACAAAGGGCAAGGGCAAGGCGAAATTAAAAGTGGAGGGTGACAACGTAAGTGTTCTTACTACACATGTTAAACTTTTTTTTGTTATTCACTATTGAAAGGAGAATAGACTGATCCTCTCATAAACCTATTTTTTCTATTAACCTCTTTTGTCTCTTTCTCTTGTGCTAATTTCCTAATTTGAAAAAAGTGACAAAGCAATGTAATAAATAAAATAGGTTTTATAGGTTTTAGTTATTATGAATTTCACTTAATGGAAAGTGGCTATTGTTGGCTACGACATAGCAACATTTGGGCGTCACAGAGTACCCTGTGACACTTAATTTCAATAAACATGATGGGACAGATTTTTCAATTCTTTAAAATATGTTTGAGCGCAATATTGGCTAACTTGCCCATCATACTCGTGAACGGGTGCTGCTTGTGGAGACTAGTTGGCTCCTGTTTTCTTCTTTATTTCACATTGAATACATACATACGATTTAAAAGAGTTTGTAAACAATCATATTTGAATAAAGATTATTTCTATCGTTATCTTATAAGTGGACGTCACTTCGCAACCATTAGGTTTTTGTTCCACAGAGAAAAGCGGTCGGTTTAATCGTGTCACAAACATAACATGAAACCATCACGGAAGTAAGCCCTGCCGATTACAAAACAAAATATCAAAATTGGAACAAAATTGGTGATGTAACATCGCGTAATGTAGTCATAAAAATTAGACGAACGATAACCTCTTTCGGAAGTGATTTAAAAAAAATATATTCACCGAATTTATCAATAGCATTATCTATTACGGCCACATTCGTCTCTGCTGTGATGCATTTCATCATGATCAGTTAATTGCATACTTGTCGCGGCCATTAACCCAACCTTGCATCATATACGCTGATATAATTTATTTTTAACGATAATCGAGTTAGTATTATAAATACGAAAGTTTGTAACTATAAATTTAATAGATAAATGTTTGTTACACATTCATGCAAAAACTACTAAACTTACTTTTTTTAAATGGTATGATAACCCCCCTGCGCTAACGGTATACGCTGGCGGGGCATCAGAGAGAGATGATAGGTAACAATAAAAAGGCAAGTCAGTTAGCCCATTGTGATATATTCACTTGGAATTTAACCGAGGGGAAACCTCGGTGGTCGACCCGACAAGGTGTATTGATAGTAAGGGGCTAATCCTTATTAGAAAACAAGCCTTTCTCCCCTCACTGTAAAATTTTGAAGGAAATTTGGTACACGGATAGATTATATCCTAACATTGCGCATTTAGGATGTTCTATATACTGATTTATGCAGTTGAAGCCGCGATACAAAACTAGTCATTCTTATTTTCATGTATTGAAAGATTGATAAGGTAAAAATATGATAAGTTATGTCATCTTTACTATCACATTGATAAGAACCTATCTGAGAAATATCTCACAAAACAAGACTAGCAAAACCACCTGCCTCATTAGTCTATTACCAGATATTATTAGATATATAGATAGATTGATGCCTTATTAGATATTACCAGAGGGAGACTTTGTACAAAAGTCGTTTGCTTGGGTACCTCTGTCCCATTCGTGTTTCAATCGTGAAGCAGTTGTGTTTGCATGGCTGTGTTTCGGTTTGAAGGGTGGGAAATGGCGTGAATTTACTGGGTACAGAGGAATAACACCTGAGTCCTCAGGAATGGCAACACATGGGGGTATCATGATCGAAACAGTATACTCTGTTATGCCCATGGTACTGCTCATGTCTATAGGCGACGGTTACCACTTTCCATCAGATGGGCCGTCAGCTTGTTTGCCATTCTAAGTTGTATAAAAAAAAGTCTTGTTTTTTCATGCAACTTAGAATGGCATACAAGCTGACGGTCCACCTGATGAAAAGCGATAACAGTCGCCTATGATACCCCCATGTGTTGCCATTCTATAGGTAGTCTGCAAAAAACTCAAAATCGTATTTAAGTATGTATATAAATTGAATAGTACCCACAATATAAACTGCTTAGTTTGGAACTAGATGGCGTTCACCACTTGCTAGCTTTCTTTTCTTTATACTCTCCGTATTACACCATAGTCCCATTACTAACAATTCCTTCCCCCCGACAATTACGAGTTTTTTTTGATAGGTGAAAATGGAATGGTAACCCCGCCTGCGCTAACGGGATACGCTGACGGAGCACCAGTGAAGGGTGATAGATGAGAATGAAAACAGGCCAGTTAGCCCATCATGATGAATTCATCCGGAATTAACCATGATATTTTCCAGGGGGAACCGCGAAGAGGTCGACCTGGTTGATTATATTGCTAACAATGGGATTCTCAGTCTCCATTACTAACAATCCCTTTCCTCCCTACAACTACGGGTTTTTTTTAATGGATGATAATGTAATGGTAACCCCACCCGTGCTATCGGTATACACCGGCGGGGCACCAGTGAAGGATGATAGGTGAGGATGAAGCAGGTCAGTTAGCCCATCGTGACGAATTCAACAAGAGTTGTTCACGATGGTTTCCAAGGGGAACCACGTGGAGGTCAACCTAATAGGGCATATTGCTAGCAATGTGGTTGTCAAACTTCGTTGCTAACAATCCCTTCCCCCGACAACTACGGGTCAGGAAGGGGTAGCCCATTCTATGCCGGGACCACAATATATAAATTACTTAATTTTTCTTTGTTATTTTACAGGCCCATCTCAACCAATACGACTCATACGGCAATTTCGAAGACGATTATGACGATTTCATGTGAACATCACATCGCATCACATACGCAGCGCTCTTATTGCGAACGTGTAAAACGGAATATCACATCGTTCGCACTCTTTCTCGCCGCTTGAATTGTCCACCGGCGGAAACGGGACAGAGAGAGTGGATGTTCCGTTTTACATATTAAAATTAGTGGGTTTTTGGTACCTGATTTTCGAACGAGCGCGATATTATAAATAACACTTCACTAACGTTTCTAATTTTAACCGTATCAATAGAATTGTCAATCATTCATCCATTTCATACATAATTCTATATTTTGATTTGAAAATAAAAATGTGTAAATATCGTAAAAAAATTAATTATGTAACAAAATAGACCGTACCGATAAAAAAATTTGATTCCATTATATGTGTTATATGTTTGAATGTGTGCCCATTCAGTGTTCCTGTTCGTACATCAGGTACTGTGAATTACGTATAGCCTATATTATACATATATATACAATGTAATATACAGTCGTTTCATTGTACGGTTATGGTCCGATGTTATGTTATTATAGATAATAAATTTTTTATTGTGATAATATTTGTGCTTTTTATTTATTTCCCTTGGAAGCCATCATAGTAAATTTTTGTTGGATGAAGGACCGAGTTACTTGCTTTTTTTATTACCTTTTTTTTCTAACCGTACGTGCTGTTTTTGTTTAATGGATGATAATGAAATGGTGACCGTAACTGCGCTATCGGTATACACTGGCGGGCCACCAGTGAAGGATAATAGATGAGTATGAAAGCAGGTCAGTTAACCTATCTTGACGAATGCGAAAAATATTAATTACAATGATTTTCGAGGTGAACCGCGTGGAGGTCGACCTGAGAGGATTTGCTAGCAATGGGGTCTTGGGGGACAGGGAACGTTAGCAATGGAGTTCGACAGCCCCATTGCTAGCAATATGCCCCTATTAGGTTGACCTCCGTGTGGTTCTACCTGGAAACCATCGTGAACAATTTGAATTCGTCACTATGTGCTAACTGACCTGTTTCATCTATCTTACCCCGCCCGTGTATACCGTTAGTGCAGGTGGAATTACCATTCCATTATCACCCATTAAAAAAAAATGGGGTCATTAGTCCCCATTACTAACAATCCCTTTCCTCCCCGTACGTGCTATTGGCCGCAGGTGACCTTTGCAGCTTCACCGGACACGTGTACAGGGACGAGTGCAAACGGCACTCGAAGCCTGCGAGAGGGAAGCGACAAAGCGGTATCTCTTATAGTCTCCGTCGTGCGTCCAAGGACGCCAGAATGGCTCAGACCTCGGCTTAGGCCACCGCACTTCGACCCCCGCCGAGGGACAGAGCGTATGTCGTGACAAGTGGGTACTCGGGGCCGAAGGGATGCGCATGGGCGCAAACCTGATAGCTCGCGGATTATAGTCACCTATTATCTCTCACCCTCCTATAGCGCAAGCGAGATACGATTTCATTTTTCACACATTAAAAAATCTGACTTGCATTCTTAGTCTATTCTAGCTTCCGTACCAATTAGAGATAACAGATGATTTTTTTTTTATACAACTTAGAATGGCAAACAAGCTGACGGCCCACCTGATGGAAAGTGATAACCGTCGCCTATAGACCCTGTAAATTCACGCCATATCCCACCCTTCAAACCGAAACACAGTTATGCAAACACAACTGTTTCACAATTGAAACACGAATGGGACAGAGGTACCCAAGCAATCGACTTTTGTACAAAGTCTCCCTCTGGTAAAATATGCCACGTCAGTCGACCCATCATGATTAATTCACCAAGAAATAACCATGATAACTTCCAGGGGGAATGCGTAAATATTAACCCGACAGAGAGAGAGAGATATCGCCTGCAATTAGACTAATCATCTGTACTAATAAACAATCCCTTTCCTGGACCAGCGTTTAAGTTTTTGATGGATAATAATGGAATGATAGCCCCCCTGCAGTATTGGTATACACTGACGCGGCACCAGTGAGTATAGGTAGATGAGGATGAAGCAGGTCAGTTAGCCCATCATAAGAATACGCCAGGAATTCAGCGTAATGGTTTCCAGGGGGAACCACGTGGAGGTCGGCCAGACAGGGTATATCGCTAGCAATGAGATTGCTAATTCTCATTACTAACAATCTCTTCCCCCCCCCCCTCCCAGCTTTTAAACCTGTAGGTAACTCGATATACAACATTTAAGAAAAACTGATACTAGTGTAAAGGATGTTAATAAAACCAACAGGTAGCGAAACAATAACTTAGTCAAATTGCGTTTGTCTGTCTATGTGTCTGTTCCGGCATCACGCTAAAACTACTGCACCAAATTGGATGAGGTTTCCACAGTTGTATTCACTTCGGCACACCCTTTGAGTGCCGACGAGCGCCATCGCTCTCGTGCGCATTGCAACTAAAAGTGCCACGAGCGTCATAGCGCTCGTGAAATCAGTCGCTGTTTAACTTGCTGTAAAAAAAAAAATATTAAAATTATTAAGATTGGATAATTTTTGTGAGGAGATACAGTTTTTTTAGAGACAAGGGTAAATGACATGAACACGACAAAGATTTCTTTGGCATTTTTAAGTAGATATGAGTAGAAATCAATGGCACTAAAAGGATTAAAATCTGGTATATAAAATATGGTATATTATCTTGATACGACATTCAGAAGTGGTCTGTTTTATTAGTATGGTGGTGGTATTTTCCAATTTCTGAAATCCACACGTACTAGGTAACGGGCGATAAGCTAGTTTGGAATAAATTCAGAAATAAAATATTTTCTATATGTCCTGAAAAATTTTGATGATGTAAATCAACCACCCCACGATTTACAGAGATGCAAGAAAGAACGCCAGAAAATACCAAACCATCATCAAGGCAAATGTCTACACTTCTCATAAACTATAATAGGTAAGTACTATTTTTTGCAACCATTAGATATTTCATTGTACTCGCTTGAATAATAGTAATTTCAAAACCGTAGCGAGGTCCATCACCCCATTTATCATTTCGATCATTTAATGGTTACTTGGCTGTGGCCTTCCACCATCTTGCTATTGTTTATAAGATGGATGTGATAAATGACATATGAGATTGCAGACTTTTAAAGAAACTTTATAAGTAGCTGCCTACCTAGTTCCAAATATTGTGAAATAACTCCTTGACCTATTCTTTGTTTTGATTTAGGGCTGTTCCGTGTATTGTTTGGTACAATGGGCTTTAAAATGCTACTTCTAAAATGAAGTTCGTGTTACGTGCTGTCTCCGCCAATTCTAAATGAATTTTAACAAATTCTACAATCGATATAATTTGCTCTTATGTTCGTTGTCCCTACATCAAGTTTAATTCCTAATCTAAATTTACTAATAATCCAGTGGCTCCGTAATTATTTCAAATTAGATTATTTAAATGTTCATTTCCAAAATTCTCTAGGTTAATATTCGAATCTGGGACCTAATTTACGTAAAACAACACCCACTGCATCGCAAAACGGCCTACGAGAATCCTTCAAATGAATACTTATGTCCTAATTTGAAGAGTATTCGTAGGTCGAAACCAATGTGTCAACATGACTCCGCAGATCACGATCAGATACATATTTTTATCACTTGAGTAAGACGCCATTGACTGCCCACGTGAATATGTGTGGACACTTGAAACTTTTGAAACTCAACTGATTTGTATGTAGGTACGTAGTTATTCGACAATGTGTTGCCACAATGTTTGTTTTATCAGCGGAGAGGTTTCAGCTTATGATTGGTGAGTCAAATATTACTTAATATGACAGAGTGGCAGCCTCTAGGGTAACGATTCCTAAAGTGGGTTCCGCGGAACTTGGGGTTCGTAAAAAAGTTACCAGGGTTCCGCGCAATTATTTATACAGTTAAACAATTTCATTCTTCATATTAAAAATTAAAGGAAATTATAAAATGTTGTAATTTTAAAATATTTCTAATAAAAGTCTATATTTTTATTTATATTACAGTGTTTTTGATGTGTAAACGTTTAATATTGGGGTTCCATAAAAAAAGGTCGTAATATAAAATTTTCTAAAAAAAAAGTTAAATAGATATTTAACTAGCTATCTCTCCGTTTGTTTCCGATCTCAGGTTGTTTTCGTGCGCTACATAAAGCTTAAATACATTAATTTCATAATAGTATAAGTATAATTCGACCTCGGATGTAAAGGAAATGTAACAATGAGACTAAATAAAGTATTTCATTGCGTTATATTGTTTTTGTTGCGTTAAATTGCTCCCACATCGCATTCGAACTATCAACATGGGAACTTTTCTCTATCTTGATACTATTACTCAAATAATTAGATACCCAAGTCCACTCTCATACGTTTATTTTTTTATCATGACAAAGCGGACCACGTTTGTTGCAAACTTTGCAATAGATTTTCTTTAAGATAGGCCGAAGTATATGCAGTTTTTTTTATACCAATTAGGTGGTAAACAAGCATACTGCCCGTTTGATGATAAACGGTCACGGTAGCCTATGTTTTTTATACCACTGAGGTGGCAAACAAGCATACGGCCCACCTGATGGTAAGTTGTTACCTTAGCCTATGAACACCTGTAATACCAGAGGTATTTACGCGTGCGTTGCCGACCCTGAAGAAACCTCTTTACCCCCCTTTTGAAGAACCCCATCCTGTAGTCTCTTGAAAAAACCTCGGCAGGGAGCTCATTCCATAACCTGAGTGTTCGTGGGAGAAAACATCTTTGAAACCGCGCAGTACGCGGCCATTGAGGCTAAAAGGCTATAGACGCCTGTTACACCAGGGATGTCACGTGCACGTTAGTAACCCTAAATAAGACTTTAATAAACAATTTTAGAAGAATCCCATACTGTAGTCTATAGAAAAAACTAGCCAGGGAGCTAATTCCACAGCTTGAATATTTGCAGGAGGAAAATCCAACGAAATCGCGCTGTCCGCTGATCATTTGGTCTCTAGCGTGTGAGGAAGAATTTCCTGTCGATGGCAAGCGATGCGATAATAAAATGTGGCTGTGGTTATTTGAAACAATACCTAAAAAACAATCCATTATACAAGTGGTAGAACACACAAAGGGAGGTAAAGTCTCGCCTTAGGCTTAAGAGCTCGATACCGCCTATCTCATAGTTCATCATTGAACCGAATCAAGAGGACCAATCTGGTATCTTAGTACTGCGGCTCACAAATGAGAGCAGTACTTCATGAGGTGTTTTACCAGAGGGAGACTTTGTACAAAAGTCGATTGCTTGGGTATCCCTGTCCCATTCGTGTTTCTACTGTGAAGCAGTTGTGTTTGTTCGGCTGTTTCGGTTTAAAGGGTGGGATATGGCGTGAATTTACAGGGTACAGAGGAATAACACCTGAGTCCTCAGGAATGGCAACGCATGGGGGGGTATCATGGGCGAAACAGTATGTGTGTACTGTTATGTCCATAGTACTGTTCATGTCTATAGGCGACGGTTACCACTTTCCATCAGGTGGGCCGTCAGCTTGTTTGCCATTCTGAGTCGTAAAAAAAAAATATGACTTGTACAACAATTACCTTTGTCTCGGGGTGAAG